CGTTTATCTCTTCGTACAGCAACAACTAATTCCAATGGATTACATCCGTATTGCTGAGTAAGGTCACGCTACAAGTGGGAAATGTGAAGACCTGTATACTCACGTAGATTATATGGTTATGCTAACACTTGCTGCTACCTGAAGTCGATGAAGTGAGTTTTCGTTGACCAACGATACCATAAACATGTTAACTGATGTCAAAATAAACGTTTACCTGACGAAACAAGAAACGATGCCGCCAGGTTAACAATCTAGGTTACATGTAACGCAAACGTCGGATATCGTGCGATTTCCGTATCACTCTACTGTGTAAAAAGAGTCGTGATTGGGGACAACCGAAAAGCATAAACAATCTGAATGTACTGTGAAGTGATATTTTTCTGTTCTTTTTATTACCTGTAGTCACTTTTGTTACCATGATAGACCATGATGCCATACCTTCATTATACCTTCTGTATCATTCAGGACGGCTCAACCACTGGAGACTTCTCTACTGTTACCAGTTTGATGATGCCTGTAAACTGGCTTCTCTCCTGTTAAATTGTTAATTTCAGCATAAAATATTTATTTATTTATCACACTGCGGACGAGCATTTCTCCTCCGACGAATCTCCCTTCGGGCAACTCTGCCTTTTGAGGCGAGAATGTGGCTTTGTGATGACAGTATCATAGTAAGCCCAATTCAAAGGACCAAACCTGTGGCCTACCTACAGTCAGCCACCGAATAATAACCATAATAATAAGGATGAATTCAGCTCGCGCGAAAGCGGGATCAAATCTAAGCTGTTTAAAGAGGAAGTGAATCAGACCAGTTGAATTTGAGTAGTATTTCAGTCCCGAAGCACCCGATGGTAGGCCCAGTCGAATGATCGGCAACTTCGGCTTCCCTGTTCTCTACAAGATGCCGTGTGAAGGTTACATGGAAGACCTTGAAGTCATCATCATGCAATTTCTTTAAATTCTCTGGCACGTCACAGTTGTTTTGGCCCCGAAAGAAAAATTCCTGCATGTAGATTCATCATTCGGCTTCGGACCATGTACAATCCAATCAAAACAGGCTTTTATCCCCGAATTCAGACTCAGATTCAGGTTGGTCGTCTGAGTGCGGGAGGCTGAGGGCCCGTATTAGTCCTTTTCCGGTATACCTCTGTGCTTGTCCAGTCCTCTTTTGAACGAGTCAACCGATGATGTGGACACCACTTCTTACATGAGTCCATTCCAGGAGTTGATAACTGGATGTGAGAACCAGTAATCCACAAAGACTATATTCCTTCTTTACTTTTGTGGTCTCTGCTACGCCCTCTGAAGTGTCCTAACCTCATGAGGAGGAAGTGAGAAAATAGATCGGGTCCGAAGTTATTTCCTAGAATCCTGTACGGCATGATTAGGTCTCCCCTCTGTAGAGATTGGACAAAGTGAAGAGGTTCAGCCCCTAAGTCGGTCATCATACGTGAGACTAGCCGTCGCAGGGATCATGCGATCGGCTACCCTTCGAACCCCCCTCTCTGGAGGGTCTGCGTCACCTTCCAGACAACGATTTGCTGCCCATGTACAGCGTTCTAATTTAGAACTAGCTAGGGATGCGTATAAGATGGTGAACATGTCACCACTAATTTTCGTAAACATTTTAAGTTATGCACAAAGTATCCTAAAACTGCGAGCTGCTACCTATCGACAGTGAACCATGGCTTTCAAGTCACAACTCGCCGTGATTCTTTGTGAGCCAATACTGACGGTAGAGGGGTCTCATCAACATCGTAGGTGTTGCTGCGTGTATGTGTGCCGGAGACATAGAGTGCAAGCTCTCTGACAGCCTTGGATGCAGCTCGTCCGGTCCCGCTGATTTTTCCATGTTGAGATCACTTAATATCCGAAATACGTCATTGCGATCGATATCCACAGAGTTTATTCTGTTAGATGTCAATGCTTCTACTGTTGGATAAGTGTCCACTTAAGATTCCTGTGTGAAGACCTCAGCGAAACATTCAGCCGTGGCTTCTGCTTTTTCCCCGTTGTCCTCAATCAAACAGTCATTTTGTCCCCTTGATTAGGGTGGGTATACCACGACAAGTTTCTATAATTCAGATAGGAAAATAACCTCTTCGGATGTTGCGATGCAGCCTGGGAAAGACGCTTTTCGATGCCCATTCGAGACCGGCGGACAGCAGCGATACATTTATTTCAGGCTTCTTTGCAATGCTTCCCAACTCTGGGTGCACTGAGTTGCGTGGCAAAACTCTGAAACGTTTTCTTACGTCATGGCAAGATTTGGATTTCATGGTTTATCCACGGAGGACAATGTTCTGGCCAACTCGATGCAGTCCACGGAATGAACGGTTGGGTCACTCGTGCATATAGTGGCTGTTTGAAGGAGCACCACATAGCTTCAACTGAGGCTTCCGGATTGACTATCCAGTCCTCCTAAGAGGCTACCAGGTTAATAGCTTCCATATTCACCTTCCATATGTTGGGTCTAGCTGGGATATCGGCCTGGTATACGACGTCTGCTGTAAATCTGAAGATTATCACAGTGCGATCACTTTAACCAGGGGATGCTAGGTGCCGGATAAGGCGCACATCATCAGTGTTTGAGAATAATAAGTCTAGGACTGGCGGAGTATGCTGATAACCATATCTGATTGGTGTCCTGATGTGCTGTATGAGGGCTGAGGAAATTGTTTTTTTCGCTAACCTCTAACCAAACTAATTACGTGATGGTGCGTTGGAGTCTCCTACAACTAGACATCGGAATTTATCTGTCCAGAGGGTCAGCCTATCCAGGGGAAAGTCTACTGACTCACATTCGGCCCTTCGATACGTCATGATTAAGTTAGCATCTTGACCCTTGCATTTTGGTCGGCAGCGCAGCATCTAACATGTCCAACTTTCATGCTCAGCTGTTTTTTACAGTTAAGGTACTCTTAACTTAAAGGATAACCCCACTATCTTTGCGTGCTAACTTGTAGCTTCTAAAGGGGATGAAACCTCATAAGTGTGTTTCACAGTCACTAACCCAAGAAAAGAGCCACTTTTCTGAGATTGCAATGATGTCAGAGGTTTCGTCGCTTACCACATTACCAGGCCCAGTCCACTTGTTTAAAAGACTACCCGCATTTGTGCACAAGGTAACGAGACAACTTAAATGAGTCTCCGTCCTATCCACAGAGGTTTTTGTATCATTCGTTGCCAAAACCCCACTACTTTCAGATCTTGTTCTCCAGCTGCTAATCCGGATTTTAGTTCTGCTTCTCTTTTTTGATTCAAACAGCAACAGCCAGATCTTTTCGCACGAACACCCTCTATCCTTAAAGTCTATGGGCATTCTTCAGAATCCGATCCCTCTGACCTGCTGACTTGAACACGATTTTAAGCAGCAGAAACTTGTTCCCAGTAATGACTCTCCTCTTTGCCTAGTCTATGTATCTTGAATAGGGTGACTCCTAGGATGTTTTCCGGTAAAGGCTAGTGTACCAAACTTTTCGCCTTGCTAAGGCCATATTCGGAACGTCCTCTCGGTTCTGCGACTCTACTTCCTTTCGCTCTATGAAAGACTACGAACCTGTCAAGGATCTCTACTTTGTCTTCGCTCTGTGGAATGATGAGAGCTGGTTCGAGAACAGTTATTGGCCTCTCACCATGCCGTTGTCTTGGTTACTTGCCCCTTTTCAGAGTCGATTATGCAAGCCCAAACCCGTGACCTTGATGCTGAGAGCCTCAGAACGGACCTCTATCCCTTTCTGCTTAGTTCTTGTCAACGATGGGGGCGCCGAACTGGCGTGACCTGCTGCCTGCAAGGTTCTATCGTTGGCTTTGAGAGCACTTCACTCCTGTTTCTTTCATCTGGGGTCAGCAGTTTTCAGGCCGGGTCTGCCAGCTCTGGGGATGCGAGAACCAGAAGATACTCACTCCACCCTGCTTGGTGTATTTTTTTCCAAGTCGCCATAAGCCGGCCTAGTTGGTAGTCTACGCGCCCAACTTACAGCTTGTCCTAGGATGTTCTTCAAATTTCGTACAGCAATCGATGCATCAATAGATGTTGTGTCTCTATCACTGTCGTGGTCATCGATTTTGACTTTCGAAGACAGTTTCTTAGTTATAGCATTTGGTAGTGTTTTCGCTTCCACTGCCAGAGTGCGAATATCCGAACAGCGCAACGTACAAAGCCAGACACTTCCCGAGTTGCTGTACCTCTTATATGCTGAGAGTGTGAGGCCTAGGCAGCAATCGTGAGACCATTTCTTACATTCGCTACACTCATACCAGAGGCCACTGTGAAGTGGCACCCTGCCCTACCACAAGGATTTTTACGACACTCACCTCACTGTGTAGCAGAAACTACAGAAATTCACCCAGTGGAAGTTTCTGTCTCACGTTAATCGAATAATTTGCCGTCTAAAGCAAAAATAAAACAGCCTTTGATGTATAAATACAAAAATGACAAGAATCTAGCTGAATGAGAAAAGTCACTCCCCCTTTCAAACAGCGCGCTTTGGCATGGCTGATCTCTGCCTCCGAGATAATGTCCCACAACCCTGTGGGCATCTGGAACCCTACAACCAGTTACCATTCCAGCTGAGCCCCTTTGCAACCATACCAATTTTTTTCTGAAGTGGCTGCTGACCTTATTCTGTTACTCGGGTAGGGTGTATGCACTGATATTGGTAAGTGACTGACAGTATATGTCACCAAATAAATGAAATCGAAACAAAAGAAATCGGTCTAAAGGCTCAGAAGGAGAAGCTCAAACACTGTTATTTTGCTACAATCGCTTTAAAGACTTTGGATATTCTAACCACTAAAGCATGAAAACATGTTTCCTTCACAACTATGCAGAAAAGAATAACTCTTGACAAACATTTTGATAAGTATGAAATCATTCTATAAGGCTTATATAGGTTCCCATGTGACAAGTAAAGAGAAAACGAAATCTTTGAAGTTTGTTAGAAATCTCTGTAGTACTTTAATCACCATAAGAGGCTTCTGGCACAAATTTGAAAGCAATGAGTAAAGGTCAGTTGTTAAATATTTACGCAACCTCATGACGCATTCCAGCTTCCTGTGATACCTTTAAGTACTCACTGCTAATAATGATCACTGAAAATGTTTTGTTCAGTGGGGTGCATAGTAGAAAATATCATGTAATTGGATGTCAAGTTAACATTTAGGTGTATATGCGAAGAGATGTTTTGGTTGATTTTGTTGACAGTTTGTAAAATGCTCTTTTAATAGCTTCTGTTCACGGTGAGATAACTACAGATTCAGTATTTTTGCTTGAGAACAAGAGACTGTAAGCCTATATTAATCCTCTTCCAGTATACTTCTGTGCTTGTCCAGTTCTCTTTTGAACGAGTCAACCGATGATGAGAACACCACTTCTTACATGAGTCCATTCCAGGAGTTGATAACTGGACGTGAGAGCTAGTAATCTACAAAGACTATATTCCTTCTTTACTTTCGTAGTCTCCTGCTATGCCCTATGAGGTGCCCCAACCTAATGAGACTTTTATGTTTATGACAAGTTCCAGAATTATCTTCACACTTTTTGATATCATGAAGATCACTAAACTACTTTTATTAGGTAGTATGGAAACGGAATATAACACAAGGTAATAAATAAAATTTTGTACCTACAGAATTCTGAACTTCAACACAAATAAGCAAGAATCCAGCTATTCTATATCAAGATAACTATACGAGCACTCAATTCTCAGGTCAACTTTGAGCATTTTTCAGGGTAAAAACTAAAACATTTGCAGCAAGAACCGCATCAGTGTCTCTGACAAAAGTATTCAGAGTCCTAAGAAACGTCATGTAATGATTTTTCTGAGAATAATGAGAGGAAACATTAAAGGAGAATAAGTAAACGGTAGAAATTAGCTAAATGCAAAATATGAAATTGAGTTATACTGAAAAGTCGTACTCCGCATATAATTGTTCAAATGGATAGTGCTCCTGTAGACCAGAGGTATGTGGAACGTCCGGAAAAGACCAGAATAAAAACTCAAACAAAGATGGATAACACTTGATATCAAACTCATAGGACTGAGTCTAACGGCACGACTCTAATTTATTGTTGAAACTAAAACTAAGGATTTATAATTCATAAACAAGAAACGTAAAACTTAAAGGAAGACTTTTACTCAATACTGATCAGGAAATTATTTATTTTGAAACAGCAATTATGGCTACTCTGAGATATTCAATATACTTAACAAAGTTTAAGAGTGATGTTTTACTTAATACCTAAATAAGCATATTGCCCTGGTTATCAATGGAACCCGAAGTGGTTGGATGCGTTGATCACTTTACTTAGCCGAGAAGTCTGATCAGCCCTGGTGCGTCAGTGACCGACGATATCCCTGCACAGATACAGAAGGACCGATTAACTTTCTCCAACTCAGGCCATCTGTATCACCGCTGTGGCATCTGATTGTTTACTAAAGGTCCAGTGTACTGTGCTACAGTGCGCTTTCTTCTATTGCATGGCTATGAAACATATCCAATACACTTAAAGGACATGGAAAAAGTTTGATCACTGTTATCTTTGCAGCATAGGCCGTGTGTCATGATATCACCACGTCAGTAACTCAGAAGTCAGGTGTGAATTCAGGGTGTATAGAAAAGTCAGTTGACGCATCTGTGAACTTTCATTGACTCAGACGGTTGAGGCATATATTACTCAAGCCTAGCCGCCATCTGCCTCATCGTGCGACATTAGATGAAATGTTTTCAGGCTGGAAGAAGGTTCGGGGTGACCAGACTGAAACATGGCGTCATTGCATGAAGACCTCGACAGTTGGTCTGAGCCGTATTGAGAAATGCAGACCAGCTGGTTGGGGTTCACTTGACAGCAGAAACAAATGGTTGGGGACTCTAGGGGATACGGCTGGGAATCGAAGTCAGCGACGAAGATGTGTGTATTCTTTATCTTAATTGGCCTTTTCTCATTCCTCCTCTCCTTTTACTGCTTTCTGGTGCTTTTAGCCGATTTTCCTCTTTTTCTTCATATTTCATCTTACTACTTTGTTATTTCTTGTGCAGATATAAATTCTGGCAACTTGAATTGTTACACAGTAAGTCCTGGACCTTTGTTGATGTTTGTTAGTGTCCTAAAGTAACAACATCTAAAATCGAGGCGAACGGAACATTCTGTAATAATGTCGAACTGCCGCACATATTATTTTCATGTTTAAACATCACTTGATGGTAAGAGTCAGTCACTCAGTTTGTATCAGTGTGGGGAACTGGCAATACTGTGTAACAGTTCAAGTTACCACATTGCAAGTCAATGCATCAAGATAAAACGCAGCAACATGAAATATGCAGAAATAATGAAAAATACAATCAATATCTGGAGTTAGATATATCCTAAGCCATATCACTTAGAAACTCCAGCCACTGATATTGGTTGTTACTTTAGCCTTAATCATAAAGCCTGCTTTTTAACGCGCATCGAATGATATTCCATTTTAGTTTGGAACCCCCTGACTTTCTTCCGGCCGAAAAGTATTTCAACTAGCGACAAAATGATGATTAGGCATGCATAATACATGTTCCAGTCACCTGAGTCGATGAAGGTTCATGAACTCATCAGCTTACTCTTGTTTCTCTGCACAAAACTTTGCCCTTCACTGGTGCGTTACTGATGTGATGACATCACGACACATGGCCTGCGCTACAAAGACAGAAATGGTCAGATGGCTGAATACTTCTCATGTCTTCCACCTTCTGTGACCATGTTTCATAGGGTAGAACGAACTATTTAAAAGTGGAAACAGGCTTTAATAAGTAATGAAGCATTACATTGATACCATCGACAAACTCAGTCAGACCCTTTGAAACAGTGTGAAGATTTCGCTGACCACTTAATTACCGACACTGTTCTGAATTTCAACACGAGTGAAGCGGTTAGTGTGCTCAGCAATGGGTCCTCTTCTCCATGTTGAATATTTGGTGCTTTTTTATCCAAAACATTGAATTTGCGATACGGTTACGATACCATCATTTTGAAATAAATGTTCTTTGCTTTCTCTTGTTGAATAGGGGATTAATGAATAGCTAAGACAACCTTAAGCGCTGATTGCTCATTGGAACAATCCCCTTGATTTTTTAAATACCTGTTTATTTTCATTTGATTGCGTGGGGAAAAATAAATATTAGCCGGTCAAAATTCGCACCTAACTAACTTGATAAAAGTAGACATATTGGAAGGTAGATTTAATGATTACCTAACATCGAGTGTACCATTAGACTGGATAAACAGCCACCTTTAAAAAGTAACGAATGAACATACTCCTGTGTTTCCAAATAAAATGTTCTTGCTTAGGACTTCAGAAGTTGAAGTTTATCTCCAAAACCTCACAAAATTTGATTCGTCAAAACGCTTTTCGAAAGAAAGTAAACACTTTGTGGTACATCACTTCTGTGACGAGAGGAGAAAGCTATGCAACGGTCACATTGCATATGAAAGGTTATACATAAAATTTCAAGAGATATTTATCAAATCCGTTGCCAACCAAAAGTTCAACCAAGGAAAAGAACAGATTGGCTGTTTTCCTTCTACATGAAGAATGTTTCGGAGATTTCAAACAAATTACTGAAGCCTTTTGGAACTGCCATAGGTCACGGAATATCTTAACCATATGTTCTTTGTGCCAAAACACGGTCTTAAGTGAAGATAAACCCAATGTTAACTACAAATCAAACCTCGAAAACTACAGAAAACACCATATCAAACAGAGTGGCTATTCTCTTCGTGTTCATTTACATAAAAATCAACTAGCAGTGAAACGTTGTGTTACATGTTTGCTTGTTTCAACACATTATGATAATTATGGACATGCATTCGACTAAGACAATATAGAATATCAGATGAAGGAAACGCGAAGAATGCCACGAAAGTCTAAGAAACCTTCCTCTCAGGTTATTGAACCATCAGTAGACATATTGGCACTAACCATATATGTAGACTAGTAAGAAACAAAAAACATCAAGAAGTGCAAAGTTTACCTCAGCAGAACATCCAATGGAAATACTAGTTAAGACAATCACAAGCGTATAACGGAAACAATGAATTATATCTTAGGTCATCACAAGGAGCTACTGAGCTACTTGTGGAAAAATTCTCATGGCTCACGTGTTTCTGAATTCTTGTCCTTATGACTGTCTGGCATGACGATGAAACGTTCATAATTGAGCCATCCGGCTCAGAGTACATGGCACCGGGAAAATCAACCTCATAAGCCACAAATATTTGCCACCATCCCAAAATCATTTCCTTGTTTAGTATTGTTGTTAAGTTTATTGATAAGAATAACTGATTTTTTGTCACTAATTGCTGATCAAAAGTTATGAGTCATCTCATTTTCTAACGCAAAATGCGTACTAAGAATCAGAAACTATCCAATGTGATTACTGTGTATTAGAACATGAATATCTACAAACTTATTGAAAAATATCAAGATTTATTATCTTTTTCACTTACTAGGTAGTCGTCCCAAAGGTAGTAAAAGCAAAGGAGATAGTAATCCGGACAAGCTACAGTTGGGTTTCGACTCAGCTACAAATGAACAAGCTAATCCTCCACTCAGACCACGTGTAATCTATGACAGTTCAGTTGAAAAGCTTCGAATAACTGAAGAACGAATACAAGAAGTATGTTTCTGTTACGGTTGACAGATAAGTCGTGATTATTTCAGTGTGCATGTACATTGTTTTTTAGTAGTTATCCTTATTTCAGGTTATGTGACTTAAAAGTCACTTCACTCGTATGAAAACACTTACTACTTTACTGCATGTCTGACATCTCACTGTTGTTCATTCATTTGTTTTTAATCTGAATATGTCTTTTTTCTTCAAACCAATATACTCTTAATTTCATTTGTTTTAATACGTAACAATTTAAACCGAATAGCATTTGCTTAGCAGGCTGGTAAAAACAGTAACAGCATTGTCCCAGTTTCAGATATGACATACTACAGCAACAGGAAACGAAACATTCGGTAAAAACAAAAGCCAGCGAACCTGCACTTTCGTTTTGGGCTTGTTTATTTGACAGGATGTATGTTGATACAGTATTATTCTTTGGATGAAGTTGGAAGCACAAGCCATTACCTATAAGCCTGTCAAAGTCGTCACGAAACTTCAGACATCTGTATTATGAAGTTGTTCAAAGTTGTATTCTTTGTTTTCAGTGGTACTAAAATTTTCAAAATCTCTTCATTAAGTCTTGTCTCATTCCTATTACATGCGCCTGGTGTTGATTCGATGCACCAAGTTTTGGTAAACGTCATTTCAACTGAACTATTAAGGCGTTTGGTACAGTATTTTTGTCCCAAAATATTGCACACTTGTGTTAGTGCAAGTATTGCAAAAGATAAATTTTTTCCAGATTATTAATGTCAATAGGAGCCATCATTCCTAAATTTGGATAGCTCCTTCTGTTTTGATAATCTAACTGCCTCAAAACGGCTGGTTTGGCTCATTTATCTAACCACACAAACAATGAATTTTATTAGGTAAATCAAAATTTTCTTTCTCATTGTATTAGTAGGGTCTCTAAGTCAAGAAAGTTTATTTAGGCTTGCATATTTAACCGCCATCTTAGTTCTAGCCTTGTTAAAACGTCTACGTGAGGTTTTTGATTCTTTTTGTTCATATGCTAGCAAAATCGAAACCTTGAACTCTTTTTTACTTGTGGTGTAGTTACTATTCATGATATAAGTACTACATCATTTACGATACGTTCTTACAAATTTCCTTGAGTAGTAGTGTTACAGCTGCACGTTTTGATTCCTTATTTTTTGTATTACTCTACTATTACTCATACAGCTTACTAAACCTGCTTTAACTAGTGTTAGGAGGGCTGACTTGGATTTCGGTTGTCTGTTGAAATGTGTTAGTTTTCAAGAGATTGAAGGACTGGAACCACGATCTCCACTTCAAGTTACTTTCCAGTCCTGCATTGTTAATCCTCTTGTTGTTTTTGTGAGGTTGCTTTGATACGATTATGAGAAATGATTTATAATACACACGTTATCCAGTAGAGACTATCGGATCATGATATGCTGTATTAAATAGATGGATGCAATGTTTATTTGTTTTCTACTACAAGGTGCAAATTCTAGTTTTGTGATAAATTTTGGCTTGTCTGAAAGTCCCAGACTATCGTTCACCAAATTCACCAGCTAGTAATACATCTTGGTCTCATCTCCTTCAGCCTTTATCCAACACAATGTTTCCCACTTTTAGGTGTTTGAGATTCTGAGTTGTTGTTTCATCCTGTTCTTATTTTAAGGACGGGATTTGATTTTAAAAAACTGGTTATTTTGAAGGGGAGATTTCACTGTTATTAAAACTTATCTATTTGCTAGTGAAAATAAAAAAAGGAATTATTTGTTGCATGTTACTCAGGCTATTTTTAATAATAGACAGCCTCGAATCATTCCTGAATGAAACGTATAACTTTCAGTTTGCTACTTTTGAGCCATTAGGTGAAATTCGCGGGTTAACATATCCTAATTTCAGTTCTAAAATGCTACTAACGAGTAGTTTGTGTATGAGTACCTAGAAAAACGTGTCTGGAAAAGACTATTCAATTCATTTTCTTGATGACAACAGAAAAGAACTGGTTTCACTCACAAGAAGGCTCAAAAGGTGGGTTGGTGTACCATTTTCTCAGCACATGGAATTTAACCAAATCTTTGAAATTAGTCTCTTGGTTAGTAAGATATTAAGCACACGGTCTAAACTAAGTTAGGTATACTGAATAATGAAGATAAATGCGTTTGTCAACTGACTTGATAGAGACAAGCCCTATATGTGCAAATTAGTTTTCTATTGTGGATTGCACTTTCGTGAAGGGAGATACTTAGCGAATAATATGACAGTTGACTGTAATGATCATGGATCTGGATAAGCTTTTATATTTTATGATACCTAAGCTTTGGAACTTGGCCCGTAGAGCAGGCCATGAAGCTAACAGGAGGAGAATATTTCGATCCAGATGAAACACTTTTGGAATTCGTGTAAATGAACTTATCAAATTTTCTTAGTATCATCCCTGAGATGGCTGGCTTGACTTAAGGAGCTAAACCTCTTCACTTTATCCTGTCTCGACATAGGGGGAGATCCACTCATGCTATACAGGATTCTAAGAAATGACTTTGGACCTGATCTATTTTCTCTTTTCCTTCTCGCTAGGTTGGGACACCACAGAGGACATAGCAGGAGACTACAAAAGCTAAGAAATCTTTGTAGAATACTGGTTCTGTCGTTGAGTTATAAACTCCTGGAACCGACTTCTGTAGAAGTGATGTCCATATCATCAGTTGACCCGTTCAAAAGAGGACTAGAGAAGCACAGAAACTTAATGGAAAAGGATTAGCATCTTCAAACAATAAATCTGACTCCGAATACCCATATTATATAGGTCGATTGGTCAAATAACTTAGCTAACAAAAACCTTAGAATGAAGCAGAACCTAAACTTTACTGATAAAACGAGTTGATTGTGTGTTCTTGTTAATGAAGTTTCAGTTGTCTGTTATGAAGATTGTTTCATGGTAGTTAATACTCAGTATCCTATTAACTACTGAGTATTTAAACTGAATACTTCAAGACCCATGACTGCTACACAGTCAGTTAATCAAATACGTTTGCGTCAGTGTCCGTTTAATGTCCACTGGCTTGAAGTGTAGACTGATGTGAGGTATTTGAAGTTGCCTATAAGTTTTCTTCTCAAAATTAAAATGTTTCCGTTTTGCGAGTACATGAATCCAAAGTTATATACAGTGATATCAAACATGATACAGTGTGCCGTTTCAATGGTTAGTCAGAATTGTTTAAGTCAGGCTATACTGAGTAGTTATTTCGTTCAACATACTGAAATGAACAAGTGATGCTTATTTTAATGGTCTTATGCTGTTATACTTTCAAGTTAGACAGTAACTTATGAAAAGCATTTACAGTGAATTGAATTTTTTAAAACTTTCCACAAGATTCTAGGTCACTGAGTTTTAACTAGTCGGAGGTACAATTTTAACATATTTATCTTTCATCTGCTTTATGACATTGAACAATGACCAAATACAATTGAAAACTTGAATAAATTCCAAATAGACATCAGAACAAATTTCATATTTCTCTGTTTAAAAATACACCACTTACCTGTTATTATTACTTTTCAGCGATTAAAACAATTCGAAGCTGAACATTTATCGCAACACTTATCTAATGAATTAGATTCAATACAAAATCTGAAAAGTGTAATGGTTAGAAAGACAATTCCAGAGAAGGACAGACCGAAACCAATGCGAAAGTAAGTGCTTTTAAACATGTTAAAAAGAAAAGCAGTGGTAGATTAGGAATGCTGAAGTTGAATGTTGATGTGTCGTCCTCAAAAATTAATCTCATGAAATTCACAGCTTCGATGGAGTTTCAGTCAAACTTCAGACTTCAAAAATGTACACATTTAACCGCATGCAGAATAGAACCTAAGAGTTTCAAGCTTTTTTCGCTAGTCAATTACTATTCAAGCAATGAGTGTGAATTTCTAGGTAAATAGTTCTCAACCTTTGTGGTTCCATGATATAGGGTGACTACTTTTCAGCATCGACCCTCATTTCCTTTCCACTTCATTCGTAAGGTCTCTACACACTAAGTAATTTGATCATCGCAACTAAACTCGTGTAGTTGAGCTATAAGCAGATAGAACAGGATATTTTTATTATCTACTGAAAAAACATGTTACATAATAATTTTTTGCATTTTTAAATAACTTAAGCATTTCGTTGATTATGTTATCTTTTTGTGTGCTCCTCATGATAGTAAAACTCTAATTTTCCTTCTGCGCTAAGCCAATCACATATTTCGAGTTTAAAAAAATACTGATCGAATATGGATCGCTTTTTAGTTTCAGTAATGATAGAATATCATCCACAAATGTCCGGAGTCCAAGCAAATATAATATAAGGTTGATTGCCTCTTGTTAAGTAGGTAAAAATCAATGTCCTGCTAGGGGTCGAACTCAGGACTTTTAGGTTTCACGGCGAACGTGTTAACCGTCCAGTCACTGGGTCGGTTTCCAGTGGTTCACAATTTCCAACTTCTGTCAATTCACGATATAGCCCGATTATCACCCAAGGTCTTCAGTTAGCATCCGCTTCACTTCCGTTTGGCTAACCCCACAGGTCACGGCTTCTCATTAGAGCTTTGTGATATCCATCTGGAAACAAGTTAATGTGTTTGCCATGAGACCTGAAGGTTCTGAGTTCGATCCCTGGCCGGGTGGTGGGTGCATGCTGCCGAGGATTCCTACACTAGGACAAAACAGCTGTCCAGTGACCCCAGATTTTTAATGGTTCCCCAACTGATATCAGTTCATGATGAATACTACCTCATAAAGTTTGTTTGTTTCTTGTTCTTTGGAATAGAGAACGTTATGTTTTAACTGAGAGTATAAGAAATAATGATCCAAAATAAATAGTTTCTTCTATGACGATAATAAGGAAACTAATAATTAGTTTATCGCGCACCAAACAAACAGATGAGTGTTATGAGATTGAGTTTATATACCATTCTAGAAACTGCTGTAAAATGATGAAAGGTACTACTATTGAACAACCTGAGTAGTTAGTAAACCCTGCGGCTGATCTGTAGTATTTTGCCAGCTAGATGGGAGTGGTGAAAAGACAAGACGGCCGTTTCGTTCGTTTGAGGCGGAGCTCGTCGGCGATGTATCCAGACAAATTCAACTTATAGGGCCAAATCAGGGGAATTCCCCTGTAGTTTGGCCCTGTATACCAACCGGGAATTACAAGTATCATAACAACAATCCTCTTATCTCTATCTTGAAGTTGGATTATGAAAGTCATTGAGGCGTGTGATATCAACACTTTTAGTGAATAATTGTATCTTTATGTGATTAGCTAAGAATTAAAACAGACCCATTAATGAGTTGAAGCTGTATCGACAAAAACGATTGACTCCCAGTGGAACACCATTTTTAACCTATTAATCTATCCAAAATAACAATTAATGAGTTAGCAAGGTAGGTTACTGTACCATAATGTCAAAGATAATGCGATAAGTCTTATCCTGTACTTAGCTTTCAAGCATGTTTCACATGTAGCCATTTACGTACTACAGAAAATAAATGTTTGTCAGACATTTCATACAACCTATTCTCAATGTTATCTTGGCTTCAGTAGATGAGTTTTTAACTAGTGTTATTTAAACTACTCAGATAATGACTGAGATTTCACATCATCGCACAAAACTCAGGTGTTTCCTCGAAGTGTAGTCCTCTTTAGTAACTCACATAAGCTGCGTTTACCTCAAATGAGTTCTCCTATGCACTAAACATTTGGTCAGTTTCCTTACTTCAAGAGTTGTATCAAGGTGGACCGTAGAGTTCGAATTTTCACCAACTGTTTGGAAGATAACAAGATCAGCAATGAGTCAAACATATCTGAGTTCGGTTATTACGTCTGTTTGGAACAAAGTGATTATTATTAGTAGTAGTTTCATTAGTGATGGTTTACTGCTAACCGATTCCCTGGAAAAAAAATACCTTTGTAGTATAACTTTGTTTTGTTTATATTCATATACGAATTTTTAAACATTATCTTCAGCGTCCAAAAGATGTGTACCGTCCTTTTAGGTTATTAGATAGAATTCCATATAGTACTGTGACACAGTACTTCTTTTCAAAAAAAATATGTGTCAAGGTATTTGTCACATTCTAAACGCTATTACCGATATGCTGAAGCTCTGTAGTGAAGATTTTCTTGAGTTGAATACTTTTCGGAACTCATCACCAAAGTGTTCCTTGGACCTAAGAGAATTTAGCCTGTATCAAAAACCACACAATATTGAAGTCAGATATGCTACCAAAAAGCTAATCAGTTCGTGACTGATCTCTTTTATGACTGAATTAGATAAAGTAACTGGTTTCTCCGTAATAACTTCTGTTATCATTTCTGATTATTGAACTATTTATGCATCTCTTATAATTATAATGGGTTATTGATACTAAGGCAATCACCTTAATGATAAGATTTTATTGAAAATCTTCTCAAGGGTTGCAGTTTTAAGAAAGGCTCCTGAAGATTCAATGCTCGCAGAACAAATCACCACAACTCCATTTGATAGTAAGAAGCTTACTCATAGACGACAGTCGAATTTCAACTGGCATGCAGCTGGTTTGGGTCCCCGTTTCAGTTCTGATGGGACTATTTTAAACCACAGTATTTTGGGTGATCCTGTTATTTTCTACCAAATTGCATTGGCTCGAAATGATATCAGTTGGAATGTAAGCGGTTTATTTAACCTATGAATTCTTGAGATTTGATTCAATATGCTTTATTTGATACCTCAATAAAGGTCAGAAAGACAGGAACTTTCGAAGTAAAAGGGAATTTTTAAAGAGCAAATTAAAGAAAATACTTTTGAGTAGCTAAGAGTGTCTCTTTATTGGATTGATTCTTTTTGAATTCTACTGAGAAACCCCGTCAACTGTAGAATGACATAAAATCCATAACTTATAATGACCATGTTTAGAAAAGACGAAAATAGTTTTTATTGTCTTAAACTGGTTAATCACCTTTACACTTTTATTTATTTTAATTTTATTATTTTTCTCTTGGGTTCCTAGTGGAACATAGGGCTCCAGTAGCACGCCTCCATTCTACTCTCTTCTCTGCAGTCTTTTCAACCTGCCTCCAACACTGCTCACAGGGTTTCATTTCTTCCTCACAACATCTCCTCCATATCACCCTCTCCTTGGACGTCCAACTCATCGTTTCCCCTTTGGATTCCACTCGAGAGCCTCGTCTGGTACGTGATTTCCCCAATCGGCCTTCTCAGTGTATGCCCAATCCATCTCCACTTTCGGCTTCTGCATATTTGTTGGATAATAGGTTCTTGGTTGGTTCGTTGCCAGGTCAGAGATCCTTGTTGCTTATTCTTATTATTCTGGCCATCTGATCTTCAGTATCGAGCCAGCGTAGGCGGCTGTTGGTGAATGTCTGTAGTTTGTTGGGAGTGCTTTTCGTGACGCGCCAAGTCTCTGAACCATACAGAAGAACTGACTTGACGTCGATGTTGAAAATCCGGATCTTTTTCACGCTTTATGCCGAGCGCAGATTTCCACACTAGTTTCAGGCAAATGAAGGTCTGTCTTGCTTTTCCGATCCTGGTTTTGACATCCTCGTCTGTGCCACTGCCTGTAGTTGAAATGCTGCTGCCTAGGTAGGTAGATAAAGGAGACTACTTCCTTTAGATTTCTCCCGTTCATGGTGACTGGTGCTTGTTGTTGGTGGTGGCATTGGTTGGGTATCTTCATCATCTCCGTCTTCTCCACATTCACTTGAAGTCCTTTCTTCAATGCTTCTTCTGTCAACTTGTTAGTTTTCGCCTGTAGATCTCAAGTTTGTGCCACAAGACATAAATCATCATCGGTAGCGGAACCCAAATCTTCTCGGCTGTTTTTATCTGTCAAACAGCGCATTCCTATCTTGTTGCTCCTCACTGTTTGCTGCATGATCCTGTTGACCACAATCAGGAAGATGGTCGGTGATGGTAGACGACAACCTTGTCTTACTCCCGCCTTCACTTCAAAGGCGTCACTGAACTTTCCATTGTGGATCACTTGGCATGCGGCTTTTTCATGTAGCTTTCGGATGGGGTTGATAAATGCTTATGGCAAGAGGACCACAGTGTTGAAGCAGTTTCTAAATTACTTCTCGGTCGACGCTGTCGAAGGCCTTTTCAAAGTCGATGAAGTTGAGGTAGAGAGTTGACTGACATTTCACGCTCTGTTCTATGATGATGCATAGTATAGTGTTGCAGTTTGATCCGCACATGATTTGTTCTTCCCAAATCCAGCCGGTCCGTTCCGGTCGTAGTTTTGAATGCAGTGCATCATTTAGTCCCTCCAAGATGATGTGGCAATATATTTTGCTTGGTGTGGACAGCAGCATAATTCCGCCCCAGTTCTTGCTTAGGTCTCCTCTCTTTGGGAGTTTAACAAGGTAGACCTTATTCCAGTCTGCGGGTGCCTTTCCCTCCTTCCTTCCTTTCAAACCTTCTGCAGTAGTGATGTGAGCTTGTCCGCTGTTGTCTCTCCACCTGTTTCAGTTCTTCTGGTGGGGTTCTATCTTGTCTTACTTCCTTTGCCGGATTTCAGCAGTTTTATGGCATTCAGAATTTCTGCCTTTGTCGGGGGCCTGTGTTCACTGGTATTACTGCGGTTGCTGGTGGTATTTCTGAAAGAGTGGCAGATGGTGGTGGTTGATTCCAGAGCTTTTTGAAGTGGTCAGCCCACTATTTCCTTTGTTTCTCCTCTTTGGTAATTAGGTTTCCTTCACTATCTTTCATTGATTTCATCTGCTTTGATCTCTTCCTGGATAGTAACCTGGTTATTTGATATAATGTTGTCAGGTCTCTCCTACCTGCAGCTTGTTCTGCTTTGCTGCAGTTTAATATCCTTACTTTGAATTCACGTCATTTTTATTAGGCTAACTGGTTGATTTCAATTTAGTGGAGGCAATCAGCAGGAAGCGTGACTTGGCATAGGTTTCATGCTTGTTGGCATTCGTAATCAGGGTGTATCTGCAACCTCGACAGAACTGATGTCCTCTCTAAGATCCAACCCGTGTCAAACAGTGCTGTGGTCAGCGACATTCACACTGAGCCATTTGGGGCATGACCGATTTTGAACGGGGTTTATTCATTATTATTAAAAGGCAAACTTGATACAACATGGAAACCAAGGGCCACAGCATACAAAATAACAAATCAGAATTATATAGATATGAGGGTTGGAAGGGAGAAAGGAAACAGAAGCGTAAATGGATAATTGAAGATGTAATCTCAGATGTACATCTAAAGAAGCATTCACTACTTTCATTCAACTTTCCACGTATAGAAAAAACAAGAAAACTGTAGCGTGATTGACATTGATTCTGATCCTGAGCCATGTCTCTATATAATCTCAAACCATTGAGTTAAATGATATCTCAGATACCATCCAGGGAGTTGTAACACAACTACAGATGCTAGAACAACACAGCTATCCCTCGTCTCATGGCACCACATCATACACTAACCATATGTCCACTTCTTTGAACCACTTCTAGGCTATGTGAAGAGTTAAGAGTATGAGAGCTGCTGGGATAACATGCGTAATGTGTTCCTAAGCCATCAAAGCTGGTGTTTCCAAATGACGAAATTTTATGAATGGTGATCTCCATGAAGCCCAAAATCACTCTGTGTCATCTCAGAATTAATTATATGGTGATTTCACTGAATGCGAGCAACACTATGGCGGTAACTGTGATCGAAAATGCATAGTCATAGGTTATCCTCATCTTGAAGAGGCCAGGTTTCATAGAGATAGATAGGAGCTGCCCACACCAACACTTTGTATACCCCACCTTTTTCAGCAAGATTAATATCAAGACGATACCGATGGGGACCTAGGTTGGTGTATACCATTCTAGTTCCCCAAATACTTTCAGGAACCTCATCAGCTATATCACCATCATTCACACAAATTCTCAGGTACACAAACATTTTGACATATTCAAAGGGTGAACGTGGGTATATGCCCTTACCAGAATTTTAGAAGCATTTTCTACTTTGATGACGCAAATGATGTACCGTGCTTATGAACACTGATCATTAACTGAGTGTAACCTGAGTATCTGCATGCTGTTGCTGAGAAAGAGGATATGGTCTGTACACGTGAGGTCGTAAAGTCTTTCGCCTAGTAACTGGTTTACACGATCTGGTCAAAGGAATCGAGGAAAGCAGTAATATTGAAAATATCACGACCTGTATGTAATACACGTGATAGTGTTCGACTTTCTGACGAAGGGTTAACATGTGATCAATGCATCCATGATCTGAACGAAACTTGGACTGCTTTTCATGCATAGGTTTCTCATGAGTTTTGTCCAGACTGTGAAGTATTGTATCACCCAACACTTTGAGGTCGACCGGTAGCAGACTGTTACCTCAATGATTATCATACAAATTATCTGGACCCTTTTTAAGGATAAGTTAAGCAAAGACTCCTTTCCAGAGTGGTGAAATGTCGTCAGCTCCCTGACTGTAGTCACTCCTACATCCTTAAAAGGAGTCGAGGCTAGGTTGACTAGGCCTCCTGCCCAGTCGCACTTGAGAACTTGGAGTTTCTTACAAATCTCGACTTATTTAGGTGAACAGGTGTTAAATGGTCATGGAGCACAAGACATCGATATCGGTGATGCTGTTGGAGTAGGTTAAATTGACGTCTTTTCAAAGACCTCCACACAAGGTTTCAGGTGTCTATGAAATTTGGTGATTGGGGTCCATTCTGTTTCACATACCGTCTCATTGACACCCTGCTACTTAATACTGTTAGCTAAGATGAGGTTGATCTGCTACTGACTATTGTAATCTGCTACTGCTGCTTCCATATCGCTCATACTTTCTAACCGTCATATCTTACAATCCTTTTGCGAATTCTCTTCGATTGTCGCAGAAGGGATCTACGCACACCACTCTACTCACTGCCCACTGGAATACACGGATTAGCCTAATGAATTTGATAAGAGCTTACACAGACCCATTATTTAGTGATCGGACATTTCCCAAAGCCAAAATCACCTTAACTCATGGATTTCATGGCGTTATTTAAGTGCAGCCAACGGTCGTTTATATTTTCTGGCAGTCCTACAACTAGCCATGAGTTTAATTCGGTTTATTATTTGGTTTCAATGCTAGATGCAACCAGTAAGCTTACGTTAACAGGCTCCGGATGAAAATTTTGGTGACTACCAGAATGCAGGATGAACTGAGAAAACAGTGACGAGTGATCAAAGTTCGTTCATTGTTACCTAAGTGATAATCGTTGTCGATAATCAATGTAAATGTACGTTGCAAATAGCTACTTCTGTGTCACCAAAAAATCACTTGATTTAAAGCAGGTTCAAAGAAGTAGAATCATTTTACTGGTGTAATATTAACGAGTCGGTATAGGATTTTAGTCATTTACAATGCTAGTCACACTGTAATCACAAATGATGAACTTAATTTCGATAATGACACTTAAAAAATGAAGATGATCTTTTTTTCGGAATAGTTATTTCCTCGTTTTCTACTAGTCATTGGTGTTATCTGTTTAAAACTGCTTAGATAACTCATTATAAGACGAATCAACCTTTCAACTCCAGCTATACTTCCGTTATGACTATTAAGGAGCAACTAATTTATGATATCATTAAGAACTCTCTACTAAGTAATGTATTCAGACCGTTCAGTGCAAAACAGTGTTAAAACAGCCTTTATAAGACCAAGAAGCCATTTGTCGTAGAAAATATGCTGAAGGGATAAACATTAAGAAATCTGGAAATTGAGTGAAATGCTTCCAATAGAATATTTCTTGACTATGCAACATTTTAGATTATCAATAGTTCCAAATTACACGCTTGTTTATTTATTTTTTGAAGTTAATTCACCCGTATTACCATCCTAAATCACAGTACCTTTTATAACAGTTTTTTTGGATCTTAATTTTATTTTCAAAGAGATAATTTGCAGTTCAAACGGATAAACAGACTTGATTTTTTCTGAATAGGATGATTATACTCAGTATTTGTTTGGTGATATACAAAGCATGAAGATAATGTATATCACCAGAATCTTTTCTAGACAATTAAAGGCTATCAGTAGGAAGGTCTGAATAGAGGTTTTGTGGTTGTTCACACTCATCAACATGACGTATCTGCAACCTCAGGAGAACTGACATCCTGTTAGAGGTCTGAACCCCTCATACCCAGTACTGTATAGCTGTCTACCTACTGCCTCCAGTCAACCATCATCAACCACACTGCAGTGTAATGCTGTGTCCTAGCTTTGTGAACACAGCACAAAAACGATAGAAAGGATTGGATAGGCCTTTAGAACTGGACAATATGAAACTGGCTACTCTTCAGTGATCAAATGGGGAATCTTAGCATTTAACAAGATAGTAATGGTGGGTACTTTGACAAAACTATATATTTTTATTAGGGATTTTTCAAGTAAGTTGATGAAACTATGAACCTATATCTATTAAGATTAGAAGGAATATAAGTTAAGCGTAACCAGTAGTGGCTTACCTCAGCAAATAATATCAACTGTATTGTGATTAGGGTAGAAGAGATATCAGGGTAACCAAATCAAAACACTGCACTGAATACAGAAGTAACTGACCGTGCTATTAAATCACCTCGTAAAATGTAAGAGTGATGGTTACAGTTGCTGACCGACAGACGATACGTGAAAATTTTTAATGAACTGCACCAATTAAGTTTGTTATTATTAAAAACAGAGCATGAAGAGGATCTGACTAGGAAAAGAGTGGTAGTTAAGTAAGTAAATAAACGAAGGCCGGTTAAACCTTAAACTTTCAAAGACACTAAGGTGTAATCGATTTGGAACCGTATTACCAGCAGTCTGCTACCACTAATTCGTAAAATTACAGTTGTTTGAGACCTTATATTACTAGGCACGGACTAAAATCTTCACATTCATAATATGCTTCTACTCTGTCCTCCTACATACTGGTGTGGTGTGGTCGATAGAGGTTGACTACACAATGAAGATGAAAGGTCTTTATTATGTGTTTCTTCAAAGCATTATTCGTATGCGGTGGGACCAAATAATGAATATTTTAAATTAAAAAATTTCAGAAAGTGAATTTGTGAACCTACCTCAAGTGATTTGTGTTACATATGTTATATTCACCTGTTGTTTAGATACATTATATTAGACAGAGGGAGTTAAGTATGGAGAAGGTTTAGGGTGCCTCTACAAAATGTGACAGTAGTTAATGAAACCAGAGTGTTCCCTTTTTGAGCCATGTAGGGAAGCTAAGTCTACCGGACTGGAGTCCTCGTGATATCGCTAACCAAGTGTCAGGGATCAGGGAGGAAATGGCTCCAGTTCAGTCACAATGGTGCTAAAGGTATTCACTGTCTCATCTGTTGGAGTTCTTGAATATCTCATTAATTTACAACCACTGTACTTCTTCACTCACGTCAGTCATGTCATTGATAATACCCTTCTATTTCTGTTAATTTTTGATTTTTGTACCCAAGCTATTTTTCAGCATACTTAATCAATAAAATATCGTGCAAGTTGTTTTTCGGTGGCTCTGAAACGTAAATATTTTATCCAATTTTATCTTTGTATCTTATATTTTTATTTACTAATGTTTTTATCCTTGCTGTGTAGTACCGCTGCTGGACAAAATGTGTTTTTCTCAATCACTTGTTAGACGTGCAATATGTTTAACTTATTATAGACTATTAGTTACTGAATAAACCTTTTTGTTACAGATGGTTCCAAAGGAGATTCAGTTACAACTTCAAACCACTATGATAGAAATGCATAATCTTAATCTACCAATAGCTTTGTCGTGTATTCCAGAGCAAACAAGTCCTGGATCTCATCCATCAAATGAATCAAACTTAGCAACTAATTGCAGTACACTATCCAACCATCCATCTATTGAAAAGAAAATAAGCAGTCACTAAATTCCGAAGTAAATTATCTACAGTTAAATGGGGATACTGCATCACTGGAGAATTGGCGACTGAAAATTGGACAACAGAAATTGATGCAACAAAAACTAGCCGGTAAATTCATTGATTTTAAATTGAGAGTAATACATATTTTACATAAATAATTCCATAAGTTACACTCATTATATGTATACTAAATGAGTCCTTCAATAACCAAAGCATCATGATAATAGCCAAAATCACTCCTGCATAATCTTTTGAACCAATCACAAAGATGTTCATCTACTGTGCAATTTTCTTTCTTCTATTCTGCTTTGGCACAACCATGCCCCCTACAGCTCAAATCTTGTTAGCTTCTGAATCCAATATTTTCTCGTAAATTCTTATTTCCATTTACTCAATGCCCGAATTTTTTCAATCTATCAAATTCCAACTTGGTTGGGATATCCTTATCTTTGAATTCTGCAGTCTGGATTCTAATAATGTAGTTAGAAGCTAGATAAAGCAATAGAAGTAAATTGAGGGTTGCTCAAGTTATCTGATGACCTCAGTATGCACAACTATCCCATGAGCTGTCAATATGAACGCTGAATTTATCCACCTCACTTTATCCCTTGAAATCTGAAGACAAAATCCAGTGAGAAAGGGAAGTGCATACTTTGATATATTTTTCTTTATAATATGTGTCTTAAAATGGTCAGATTTTCAAAAGCGCAACTTTCAACTAATTTGTTAGATTCTGGATGCAGTAGTGTCACGCTCGAAACACCTACAAAGAGAACCAAACCACTATTTTTCTAAAGTCGAACAATATTCTCCAGACTTTAAATATTAATTAGTTTCGATTTAACGCATCATTGTCACAGATAGTATCAAGCGCTTATAGCTCAGGAAGTTAGGTTTGTATGGATGATGATGTCTAGTTTGTCAAAGAAATATTCACCAACAAAAATAACTGATTCTGAATACTTATCATCATTTTATTAACTAAAGGTTTATCCCATATCTCTGTCTCAAATACTTAGGTTATTACTCAAGTATACTTTTTCTCTTAGCGTTATCTTAAGCGAAGAATTTATTTGTGAACGAATGAAGGGATCAAAAATTTTCACTCTGATTGGCTAGCTGGACTTTAAAGTAGCCAAATACACAATGCTCACTGAAACCAGTTTATGAATCTGTTCCACTGAAGTGACAATGAAGTTAAGTGCTACAAAACTGATCAACTTTCAAAATACTGCCCTTCAATCATTAATTTTCAGAAAATAAATCACTAACAAACAAAAATTCTAGGGGAGAATGTTAGAAATTACGTCACAAATAGCATCCAAAAGGGTTAAATATTTGATATTAGAAATTGTGGCGAAGATTTTTATTTCAGGGTGTAAATGTTCTCAGTGAGCTGGGTTTTAATTGACAAACATTCCAATAGTATGCTAGACATGAGCTTTCTACCTGTACATTTGATTTTCAAGGTGTCCATCATCGATGAGATCAAACGGCTCCGTACTTCCACGATTATAAGGAAGACCGAAGATCCAAAAGCCAGATGCACCTCTTCGACCAACGTTTTCGCTTCCAGGAACCCCAACATGCAATCTATCAAGGTACTTATTTGAAAAACATAGCCATTTTATCAATAAGCCAACCAACTCAATCAACTCATACAAACTAGATGCTTAATTAAAACAACAACAATATGATTTCGTGCAAAAGAAGCTGTGTAGCAACACTATTTAGACGAACAGACGTACACTGCAGTACAATGGAGTCAAAAAGAGTTGAGAAGAAACGTTTGTTCAAAGTCCGCCAACTCCACAGTTATCCAAAAAACTTCTTAAAGAGATATCTTTTCAAATGCAGAAAATCAAAACTGACCACAAAAATTTACAGAAGAATCGTTCTTCCATGCATCAAGAATATCTCAAAAACAGCAACCAGATTGGTGTGTCTGCTTGGAATCGCATTGTCACACAGACTGACAAAATCACTACAACATGTCCTATGAAAAGTAAAGGCACCCGGTTAACAACGAGGAAATGACCAATGTTGTCTACAACGTTAGGTGTAATAACTGCAAACACTACTACATCAGACAATCATGTAGACCAGTATTACTATGCCTACATGAAAACAAGCTAACTGTCAAACGCCGTTATGTGAAGTCTCTAACTTCGGTACACCATGACAATTAATTACTTCACTTCTTTGTGAAGCTCTGATGCAACGATAGCAATGTCAAACATGACACTGAAACGTTTGCTAACTAAAACCATAGCTCAGAGAACAATTCACTCTGGACATACTTCATACTTCCAAAATTGCAATTGTTTAGGCAAACATTAGACTTTTGCTTCATCTTCTTATTTATTTGTTTACTACAAGGTTTGATGAAAAGGAAATCAAATGACCTTATCATGAATTCTGGTGAGAATGCTTATCAAGTTCAGCTAGCAAGGGAGAAAATAGATCGCGTAATGCCACTGGTTACTGATGGCAAAGGGAGTAGGTTTAACTTTTTTATGAATTAAAACATTATTGATTATTGTGATACTGTTAGGGTGGAAATGAGAATGAATTTGGTAAAGTCTCATAAGGTTTTACCTTTAAATTCAACATTTCATACTAGAAAACACACTCACAATTTGACTTGTTGCATAAATATTGCTCTGAGGATGGAACAACCAAATAACTGGTTCCTTGAAAACAGTGGAAAGAAGGTAAGTTATATAAGTCGATATACATATATATGAAAAGTTAAGGCCTAGAAGGATTGAAATTTTGAAATTAGATAAGCTACAGAAAATTCATGAAGATGGAGTACCAATGAGATCAAATTTAGACATGTGCAACTCGGCAGGTAAGGACCTGAGAAAATGGTTCCCTTGAATACTATAAAAAGGGCATAACGTAAACGCAGTTTGAAGAATACTGGTGTTATTGAGCGAAACATTTTACAGAATGAAGCAATGTTATCATCTGATAGTTCGTCATTCTTTACAAGTTTTCCATAGGTGGTGATGGCTGATTATTTATCTTAAATTATTACAGAAAACTAATTAAACATTAAGTTGCCTATGGGTGACCTGAAGGAATTGTTATAACAGTGTACAGTTAGTGCTAGCTCAGTTGGTAGAACATCAGGCCGAAAACCCGGTGGCTGCGGGTTCGAATCTGGCCACGGTTCAGATTTTTACTTCACATGTAATCATCACGCAGTATCAGTACTAGTCTACCAAACTACCACTATCTTAGATAGTAAAAATGAAAATTCCTTTCTAACAACCGTCTCTATTAACAGTTAAATGGATTCCCCAACTTCATCATCACTTACTGCCAAAGTTAGAAAATGGTATTTTTAATCCACTCAGAATCAGTCGACTTCACCCTCAGAGCCCCCATTACAATGTAGTAATTTATACTTCAACAGTAACTGATTTTCGTCTCACGAATATCCAATAGACTTTTGCTGCATGGTGGGACCTTGAGTGAACAAGCGTTCCGGTCAGTATAGCTCGTTGAGTCATTGTGATATGCGAGCTCGTCCACCATTTCAAGGTACCAGTTATCGTCGAAGGAAATTTGTGGGGATTTATTCATAGATTTCTAGATGGTATTCTTCGCAGACCTGCATCAGTTAGAGAATCATTAGGAACCTGAGAGCACTGAACAGCTGTTTTGTGCCCACGAATTTGCTAGGGACCGAATCTAGTACCCCCAGGTTCCACAGCAAGCACGTTACGATCAAACCACTGGGTCGACATCCACTGGTACACATTTCCTATTACTGTTGATTCAAGATATGGTGCGACCTCCATCCAATGCCATCGCTAAGGAGATTTGTTTATTGATTTCAGGTTGATACTCATAATGTGCTGAAATCAGCTCGAGAACGACTGAAAACCTGAGAGCAGTGGATAGCTGTTTCATCCTAGTATGGGACTGCTTATTCGCGCACATCTATGACTTCGCCAGGCATCGAATTTAGTTCTCCAATTTCTATGCGGATTTAAACATTTAGCTGCTCCTTTGGAGAATGCTATATACAGTGTTTCACTGGGCAAAGTAACCGACATGCTGCTGAGCATCTACCTTCATGGTTCGGAAACGGACAGATAAATTCCATGAGAAGCTCTATTTTCTCATCTTTTCGTTAGTGGTCATCTGGTAGATATGAGTAATCCCTAAAAGGATATCCACGGCAGTCAGCCTTATCTTTTGAACGGTATTTAAACTCGTCTTTTGCACACAATAGAAGCTATATGAAATGGTTATTACCGCTTGTATATTGCTTAATTTTTATTTATGTTTAGTTATTGATATTACAGTAAAGCCTGAAGAGGATCTAATTGAAGACAACATTGTTCGCTTATATTTCTTGTTCTAATTTATATCACGGGAACTTTTAAAAATCTGTCTGATCATTTACTTCATCCAGTGATGTGATGTCTATCTCTTTTGTACTTGATCTTTCTGTATAGCCTTAACAGGAAAAAACATGCATTTACTATCCATCATTTTATGTTCACTGTTTAAAGGCAGGAAAATAAGTTGTGTAATTTCAATCTATAGATATTGTTTAACTTTTTGAAATGACTGTTTTTGTTTGCGGGAATATGTCACGATGCTTGTTCGAAAATATTACCACCGAAAAACCAACAAAGGATAATGTGTAATGATGCATTCAGGAAAAATTTGTATATCTCTAACAGGAATGTAAAACCATATGATCATTTCAGGTTCTGCTAAACAAAAAAAATCACATTCAAATTCAATACAGTACTTAACTAGGATAATTATTGATAAATTATGACTTTATTTTGGAGTTTCTTCTATAGGTGATGTCTATCATAACAGATTTACATAAGGATATGTGAAAATAACTTCACTCCTAAATTAAGCTCTTCGATACTGATGAGGCACAATTTGCTAGTGTCATACAATCTCACTATCAATACTAACGGGTTCACAAGTAATATGTAAATAATAACACAAGCTCAGAAGATACTTGATTATTAGAAGGAAAAATGTGGCTATAGAACGTTAATATGTCCAAGAATTAGTACCACACCATTTGTTATCCTCGACCTGTGGTGCTAGGAAAATAAAGCATTGGCTTAAACAATTTAGTCAGTGATTGCATCCTAGCAAACCACAACAACATGAGAACAGTGATTGTTGATGAGAGTCGTACAGGTTGATTGGAGTCATTATGAAGAGACAGACAGAAGCATCTGATCACATTGATCGAAATCATAAACAGTGCGGCGCATGTATTCACTTATCTTCTTACTCTAAATTCAGTAAAATTAAACTACATTTGGTACGCCCGTGGTATAGTTCATATTCCTGACAATACAACTGCATTTGGCAGCTTTTAGGAGCCATCACAAGTCTTAGAAACTTTAATGTCCTAACTTAAAACGTACGTTATCTGGACGGCTAGTATATCCACCCTTAGCGTTTTATTTTCTTGGACAAATTTCTACGATAGGCGTTTCAAACTACCTCGACTTGTTCAGTAGCATAAGTCGTTAATGTCACTTTATTTAAAAGACTTGCAGTTAGATTCTTCATTTCACTAAATATAACCATATACTCTTCTTCTGGCTTTCTAGGAAGATATATGAGTGAATTTTGGAGTCAACCAGAATATATCAAAAGTGATACCTCAGGTGATCTGTGGTAGGTTTTAAATGGATATTTATAAATGCCTTCTACATAAAAAGTATTAATTACATTCACGAAGTGTAAAGTATTCGTTACATCAACGAAAAAACTTATTTGAAGCAAAAAAATAATTAGGAACAGTCGTGTATCAGTACACTGTCTAAACGTTTTTGAGATTATTCTGCGCTTCGTTAGACAGAATGAATTTCAGAAATTAGTAAGCAAAAAGTGTGGAGGCAACCAACCCACACCGGAACAAAGCCCTATTTAAAAGATTTGTAACCTAACAACAAGCTATACATCGAAGATTTTTAAGAGATTAAAGTAATGAACTACTTGAAAACACCAACATGATTCGTTTTAGGCAAATCGAAAGGAGTCTTTCGGGGGGGGGGCGTCATACCACCGACTGTTTACTTTAAAATCACCTCATTTAGTTATGCGTATAACCACTTAGCTTGAGTAGCCGGCCTCTATTCAGGTGATTCAAAACATTCGGCCATCTGAGCTGAATCAGTCTGGATTCACCACTGATGAGCTCGACTTAAAACGAGTGAAACAGTCAACCAGCGTTTGAACCAGTTTGCCTATACTTGCTATGTCATTTGTGCCTTTGTTGAAAATGTCTAACATTAGTGAAGACTACACCCCATTTTTATCAACCCTACTTCAATGGTTATTTACAAAGTTCTTAGAAAATTCACAAAGAGGAAGAAGTACATTTATAAGCCAATAGTGTTACCTGTATCCCTTAATTAACTAAGTCATAGATCATTTCTTTTCTGTTAGTCCTGTTACTTAAATACATCACTTGAAACGGGTATTCTTATGTCTAAGATCATTCATTTTGTGATAAACGGTGTATTGGCAACATGGTAATTACCACTGAGATATAAACAACTGTAAACAACATTTTCGTAGTGCAACACTGTTTTCGATGTACAGGCGAGTGATATTTAGCTGTACGCAGATTTGAAGACGCATTTGAATGACCTAGTGTTGCCTTAAAAATCAGTTCTTTATTTATAGAAAACAATATTAAGTGTGATGAGCAGGTTAAATACGAATAAACTGGTTCTTTCATATTCATTGTCAAATCACAGATAAATGGGATCTTTGACAGGTGTCTTAATGCCTGACTTTGTCAGTGACTAAAATGAATAGAAAAGAAGAACTAATTCTAATTATTGCTGATAAATGAGAACTGCAATTTATAAAGATGCATGGGAGTGTATAAAAGTAGTTTAGAAGCAACTGAATATCTTTAGAATGTTACTGCTTATAAAGAACTCTTCGTGGACCCAACTATCAATGTTCACTAGAGACTGGTTCAAAGGGTTTATTACTGTGAAAGTTTATGGATCCATGACACTACCTTCTCTGGTTTGACGCATATGACAATACATTAAAGTAACACCTATTATATATTTATATTTTCTTCAGTGAAATGAAGCCGTGACTTTCTTGTTTCCCGACATAGTTTTTATTGTCAGTATCACTAACAGATCGTATTAGCTAGTGAATTCACACAAACGTCAATCATTGTCATCATACAAGTATCATTAAATCTAATTACGTTTTTTCTTCAATGATTAGTTAATTTCACAGAAAAAAATGCTTATCAGAGAGTCATAGTACCAACTGGTTTATTCTTTTCTCTGTTTATTGAATATTATCTAGTACAACACTGACAATGAAGGAAAGAGGGATATACAAACCAATTGAATTTATCAAATGTCCTAAAATTATCAGGAAAGAAAAAGGTCAGTAACTCGTTCACGCTTAACTTCTGTTAGTTAAAAACATTTTTTGGCATTTTGATAATGAATGTTGTAAACGTGGTACCAAACCTAAAGTTTTGCCAAAGTTAACACGCAAGTCTTCGACTCCTATCAAGAACAGATAAAGCATTCGGTACTTTCTACTAGTTACCAACTTGAAATAGCAGTAAGTTAATTACAGCGTAACTAGTTATGTATGAAGTTACTTTCAACTGGTAACATATTCTTCTGATAGATTATTAGAAAGCCTATTCGGTTCAGTTTTCAAATTAAAATACTTTGTAAATTGATCCTTCTAAACTAATGATTTATAACGTCATCAAATTTACATAGAGAAGAAAATGTTGCGTTCAACAGAAACTAAAGTTTTATTGGTCAGTTTTATTCACTATTTTCCGGAAAGCAACTCCTAGGGATGTGTTTAACAGTTTAAACATCTATAGGCGTTGCGCGGCAACCAGTTTCACCTAAGTATACTTAAAGTGCTTTTAACACTCAATAACTTCCCACCAGCAGCCTCCATCCAACTGATGATGGTGAGATTTCCAGCCTAATAGCCACACTGCAAAGTGATCGACAGAATTTGATCACCACTTAGAACTAGAAAACATGAAGTTGGTTGTCAATAACTTCAACTTATTGTTGAAACTGATTAACATCAGTTTTTTGGGGAGAGTCCTGCCCATGAGTGGTTTTCCAATCCTCATCGAGGTTCTCAATGGTTGAATATTTTTTGTTTAGCATCTAACGACTTACAATCTGCTAATATTCACCACGGTATCGCATCTGGATAAAAACAATGATGATTCAAATTAAACTTCTCACTAAATATTCTGTTTTCAGTTATTGCCCAGGTTAAGGAAACGCAATAATACGGGGCTGTGAAATGCAATGAAATAGCTGTCTACCGTTCAGCTGTTTCCAGTCTTGGTTCCTTCAGTATCGATGCTTTTAGGCTATTATTAAGCACTAAATGAGTGTTTTGAGGTTAATGGGGACCTTAGTTTTAGGTAGTATTCATCACGCACTGTCATATGCTGAAGAACCATCGAAAACCCTGAAGCATTGGACAGCTGTTTCGTCCTAATACGTACCCATGACCAGGCTAGAGATCGATCTCAGGACCTTCACGTTTCACGGTGAACGTGTTAACCATTCAGCCACTGGATAAGAGTTCAGTGGTTCACAGTCTCCAACTTCTGTCAATTCCCTATGTATTGGACACCAACTGAAGACCTTGATGGAAAGTCACGCTATGCTGTGAACTGACAGAAGTTGGAGACTGTGAACCCACTGAACTCCGATCCAGTGGCTGAATGGTTTACGCATTCGCTGTAAAACGTGAAGGTCCTGAGATCGATCTCTAGCCGGGTCATGGGTGCGTACTGCTGAGGATTACCACACTAGGACAAAACAGGTGTTCAGTGCTTCTGAGTTTCTAATGGTTCTCCAACTGATGTCAGTCCGCGATAAATACTACCTCAAAGCAAAGTAGATAGTTTAAATATTATCCTGAACTGTGAACGGGATGCCTACTGTTACCAACTAAGTTTTTATAGTGACTGCTTGTATTCCTTGCTGTAGGCCTGAACAGTGATGAATCAAATGTACTAAAAGATATACAAGAAGAGAATTCGTTCACTATCAGAAGTCGGAATACTTACCTTGCACAGAGAAATCAAGAACTATCTGATTTAATGAATGAGGCAATACCTTATGAACCATTGATGGATGATTTAGCAATTGTTGGCGAGAAAGTGTTGAAAAGTGAAAAGAAGTAAGTCATTCAATGATATTATGTATAATCTTAGCAGCTGAATACATGGATGAATGATACGCTACATGCGCCCAGAAAGCTTTAGAACTAACTAGGATTACCATGCTGTATACAACTTTCTTCAGACTTCAGAAGTTGTATAAGACAGATGGTTTCGTCAACATTGAATTCTGTAGACTGTGAGATAGATGACATCATCAGCACAAGACGGTGAAAATTTCGTGATTAAATCCTTTAGCCCACAGAATGCAACATGAATGAAATCCTCCAGCCGAGCTCCATTGCTATTAGTACTCCAAGATTGATTTATTTTAAGCAGTTTACACGTCCAAAACACGGAGTTTCTAACCAACTACTCGGTATATTAAAACTAGATAAAGTGCTCCTGCTATCCTGTGTTCGAAGTAAAGTTGACGTCAATAATAGAACACTGTTGATCGATGTGGAAGATTTTCCAAATATTCATTTTATTTGTTATCAATAAGCCACATTCCCTTCTCGCTCACATTCTTGACAATGTTAATAATGTCTGGCAAATCAAGCTGTTTTATTCGAATATAAGTGTTACTCCCAAAAAATTCAAAATGGAATTCATGAGTTAGATTTCACATACTTGGATAATTCTTTCTCAAGTATCCACACCTTCTAAACTCTTGTTTTCAGTTATGGGGCTTCTTAGCAACACAAAATGACGATTTCTCTCAGAATCTAGCCTAGAACGATCAAGTTCATTGGGATTACTTGCATTTTGCATCTGCTGTCCTTTACGTCAGAAGATCACGTATTTTACCTCGTCTGTTTCGTTAAGCGGTTAGATATACTCACCTGTTGTCATAGAAATCATTGCTATCAAAGATAAAAATGAGCAAAATGACAAAGTAAAGCTATGCACAGTAATGCATCGTCATCCACCAAATCACAACAATAGAACCGTCAAAAAAGAAAGCACCCTAAAGTGAACCATGAAGAGTCTTAAATTGCTGATTTCTAAGGAACTAACTAATTGGACAGGAATGATGGATTGTGGCTAGCAGTCGAATCCAGGATACGTATTCCGTCTTATTTGGGACTCGTTAACTGGATGTACCTGCTTCCCGGTGAGTGATGTTGTTCCCAGCGGGATTCGGACTCGGGAGGGATCGCTTCAAACGCCAGCGGGTTATCCATCGAGCCACGATAGCCACTTCTTGTGCCACGGGTATAGTTTTAGTATAATTCTATAATATAATTCCACTGCTAGCCACGATCCATCATTAACATAATTAGAACACAGGCAATATCGAAGCATCCGCACAGGAGCCCATATGCCAATAGAGACCGATCAATCCGGTCGAATCAACGACGGTATCATATAAAAACAATTATACTAATTGGACAGGAAGCCTACGCGTCAATGGTAAAACTTTGATGAAAATTTGAATTGATTGCCTCAACTGTCTTGTAGCCTAGCACATTGCTTTATCCTACGTAATCCTTCCCTATTTCTATCATGTTAGGAAAGAAATTAGTTTGGTTTCAATTTGTGTTTTAGTTTACCCGCTGGTTGCATTTTAACAACGGACTATCCTCTCTATCTATCTTTTTCTGAAGCTCTGTATTTTACTTTAACGCTACTTAGTCTATGAAGTCTTCATGCACAGGCAATATTTCAGAGCCAAATATTACCTAAACCCTCTAACTTTATTATACTGCACTACGGTAATCACTTCTTACAAATCCTAGTGAGTAGGAGATGAAGTGGCGCATATACTACTGGCCTTTCGATATTCCTTCATCAGTGTGACATATTACATACTTGGCGAGGGCCAAATAAGACTTTTATGTCCATCAAAAGATTTAGTTGACTGTCTGTTATTCAAGATTGTTGCAACTCAGTAAATCAACGAATCGGTCTATCTAATTGGTTGACTGTGTACGACTTCTTGTTAAAGTTCTGTTCTCCATTTAGCAAGTATTTTATGATACTAGACTACCTAGATGGAACAAATTCAGTTTTATTTTTCGGCAAATGTTTTTAGTTCTTCAATTGAAAATGGTTTCCCTGATCGTTTTAATCGACATAATCCAAAGAAATTCAGTGAAAATAGAGCGATTAAATGACTATCATATTTTCAAATCCTACCGAATTTGAAACATAATGGTGCAATGTTTTTCAGAAGAGCTTTAGAAATGAATCAAGGAGATGAAAACTGTGCGCATAGTTTATACATTTTTAATTGTTAGTGACTTCTGTAAAGCGGTTTAAAGAAACATGCTGTGCGAATAGCTGGAATTTTTTCTTCCTCAAATACACTCAGATGTTCACACTTGGAACTTACTTCAATTATCTACCTTTTACTTGGTGTAAAAGCATTTTTGAAATTAGGTCAGATGTAAATACATCTTAGCAATAGCATTGGATGTTGGCCACTCCATATTGTGGATCGAAAAAGAAATATCGCATTTCAACTCTTTAGATGGATAATAACGTGATTACAACGATCCTTGATGATCCTTGGCCCAATTCTTGGTTAGGTAGTGTCTAGGTGGGCACTGGTTATGAGTCACAGTTTGGAACAAGACAACTGTTCAAGGCTTCGGGCTTTTCAGTGGTTATCCAGTTGATATTACTTTGTGATGAAGACTTACTTAAAATCTGTCAGTCCCCAGAAACCACTATCTGCAGTAGGGGAACTCTCCTGCTGAAATTTGTATGATTTGAACGGTGTAATAGAACCAAGCCTGATAAACATGCCTGATTCAAAATTTTCACATCGTATATCACACTGCATTGGTTATGGAGTATCAACAGGAATACTTTTGCTATATTCCCCTACATAATTTGACATCTTTTTCATTTAACTTACATTCAAATAACAGGGGTGAATCTATTGATGTTCAAATCACTGGTACTGACTTGAAAGAAAATGTTTTGCATGAAGTTGAGGAAACACTGGAGTCTGGAAAATCAAAAGCTCAACAAGTAGATTCTGAAAGAAATGAACCATTTATCAATGAACCATCGTTATATATAAATGGTCATCATTTAAAATGGGATCCAGATCCTGCAGGTCAACCCCAAGTGGGCATGGACATTCATTTAACTTTCGAAGTAAGTACACCTTTTCTTAAATAAAAGGACAGTCTTTTATTTAACCAGTAGGGATAAAAAATACTTACAGCTCGTGTTTTTTTCTTATCTTTGATACAACGATGTCTAATGTTTTAATTTTTGGTAACTCAATGTTTGTAAAGTAGGTATTAGTCAAAATCTAACCCGTTAACTGAATGGTAACGAAATCATCATGATTCCTGATCATGAATGTGCATTGCGGAGGAGATCTATGCTAGGACAAAACGGCTGTGCAATGTTTCTAAGTTTTCAATGGTTCCCCAATTATGTTAAGCCCGTGCAGAATATCTTGAAATCAGTTATTCTCTACAAACCTCTAAAATGAATAAAATGGTTTCTCTTAAATGACACTAAGTTTTAACTGCACACTTGTCAACAAATTTTAATTTCAATAATTCTAATGTTTAAGTTCATTGCTTCGTAATATTGGATGGTTATAACCTTCTTTTACAGAATACAATAAATATCGCTTATCTAATACAATGGCCATTGTTTGTTGACTGAATACTTTCACGGTGTAACTTATTTTTTCCTTCAGTTACATCTTTCGGTATGAGGATATCGAGTGATTAGAAAAATTATTTGATGAATGGATAAATTTCATGATAACTTTCCTAGCTGCGACTTATGGTCATGACCGACTATGTTAAACACCTCAGGACTGTTTACAAAACCCAAGAGGTATTCCAAATACTGCTTGTCCAAGCCTAATGGAAAACTATCCTTCGTTTCATAAGAATTGTTTGTTATAAGAGACCAACTTAGTTCATAATACGTTTTTTGATATAAGCACTTAAAACATACAGGGGAATCTAATTGATCGCTATAAATGTAAGTGAAGCTTAACTCATAGTCACTGCATACAGATCATGACATTTCTGTTTGTGCAGTATATATCACAAGGTGTAACGCATCATACACAAAGATCATATTCAGTTAAATATTTATAAATATTCCGTACATTCCGAGTTGATCACGTATTTCAGTAGGGAACCGATTTTTGAAATATAAAATATCATCTCCCCAGGTATGTTTGCAACGGAATGAACAAAAAATGATTAAACTGGATTACTTTAAGGAACATGAAATCTTGATACCACGCCAGAAGGTTACCTGCCATTAGTTCCCATTTAACTGCATGTTTCCGGACGATCTCAACTGCAAATTTGTAAAAGCTTTTTAAATTTTTCCGCTCTTTTCTCATTCGAACTATATTTATCCACTGGCTTCGTGCTTCAATATAAAGCAACCTTTATGTCCTTCTAAAAGTTCCGGCCCACTTTGTCTGTTGGAACAGCTGCTTATATTATCATGCTGTTCTCAATATTCCATTCATACTGCAATTATTTGTATTATTCTTAAGTTTTATAGATATATTGAAACCAAAGTATACTGGCACGAAGCCTGACGTGTCCTTTTATGGTTGTCATGGTGTCTTTAATCCGACTACCTATTATAGGACGAGCATACTATGCTGCAGTTTGTTCTGTCCTACTATACGGCTGTGAGATATGGCTGTTAAAAGTCGAAGATATGAAGAGACTACAGTTTTATAACCGTATGTGTCTTCACAGCATTGCTCACGCATGACAGAATCACCATCTTAGCAATCTCAGGGTCAAGAGGAAGGTATTAGACATAACAGGTAAGTCAGACACTGAGGTAATGAACCTTTAACGACTGAAGTAACTTAGTCGTATATTGTGCATGCTGAACCACCACCTACCTCAACTTGCAATGTTAGAAGTTGGATAGGGTTGAGAGAAGACTCAGGGTATCCCAAACCAAACGTGGCATCAATCCATGAAGTCTATGACCAATGGTCTGAGTCATGTAAGGGTCTTTGAGACGATAATATCAATGTTTGGAGGCTCCTGCTGGCATGACTGATAACCAGTCGTAATAGTGCAGATGTATTCAGTCTTTGGCGTCTTTCAAAGTCGAAACATATTCACTAATCTTCGTTTTCTATCCATTCTCTTGTGTCTACATTGACATCACTCCTTCTCTACCTACTTGTCCTTCGCATACCACTGTAAAGTTTGGCTTTTTTGTGCGATTTGCATGATTTTGTCCGGCTACTACCTATATCACAAAGGAGGAGAAAGTATTAGAACTGTGTAAGCCATTTCAAAGCTGCAGAGGTATCGCGATATAACTCTGGACGATAAGTCGGGTCTAAAAAGTAATCTAGTCAATAATTCTGCCTCACTATGTAATACATCTGATAAAAAACCAGAAGGAAAATACTTTTTACCCATCACCATTTTTGGTGAGCCTAAATAACTGTTCACTTCAAAGCAACTTCAATACTTCATTTAACATCTCACACACACACACACACACACACATAAAAGTAAATAAAACACAGCGATAAAGAAGTATAAGGTTGGTGAATAGATCACCAAGGCATGCACTCAAAATGCATGTGCAGGTAGTGACAATTCAGTCTGTGAAAACAACCTAATATACATACTGTATATACTCCTTGTCATGTTCGAAATTTCGAGTATTTTCACTAACCTTCATCCACTTGTTCTCGCTCCTCTGATACACTTTTGTTTACCCTAATATCACGTCTTCCATCCACTTCTACCTTGCTTACTGTTTTGTTAAGTTCTGAGTTAATTTATCTGTCTGTACGTCAAAGGTAAGTTCATCGTTTACATTTAGATAATAAAATAAAATGGGTAAGGGATATTATGCTCCACCTTACTCAGACACTAATGTCTAACGGTGCTGGCAAGCATGCTTCAAATCCCTTTGCCTGATTCCATGTGCAGTCATTGAACTACCTCTAACCAAAGTGAAACAGATGTTCACTTCTCCCTTATCATCCAAGCAAAGCATCTTGCCATTATATCTCTAAGTTAGTTGATTCTTCAAAACACCATTTAAATTTGAGCCACCAAATGTTCTGTCCAAGTCCTATGTTAATAAGAGGTGTAAGGTTATTCAGTCTTTATCACACTATCTCTTCAATTAGATCTGATAAACTTCAGGATCGAAATTTGACCTGATAGAGTTGAATAGATTGAGCACTGGGTATATGGATCATAAATGAAATGCATTTTTAAAGTCCCAGTAAGATAGAAAAATAGATTTCTGACGTTTCGCGACTTCTGAGAAATCGCTTCTTCAGAGAAAAAAACCTGCTCAAGTTATTGACTGTTTAAATAGTTATTACCATTTGTTGGTATAATTGTAACTGTGTTGCTTTGCTAGATCAAAATATTCGACCTCGATTGGCATATGGGCTCTCATGTGAACCCTTCCATATTGTCTGAATATTTATTATGACAGTATATTTGGTCCTGACTAACTGAGGAATCCTGGACGCGCGTTTTGTCCTGTTTAAGATCCGCCAGCTGTCCGTACCTGCACCGCAGTGGATGATGTTGTTCTCACTTAGACTCCAACCTTGTACTTATTGCTTCAAACGCCGAGGTGTTATCCACCAGGCCATTGAGATACGATAGCCATCTCTTGTACAATGGGCACTGGTTATTACAATTTGTTGATATGCTTGTATAATATCACGTTTAAATAGTTTTTAAACAGTCGACACGTTGAACAGTTTTTATTCTCTGAAGAGCCAATTTCCACGAAGTCACGAAAGGTCAAAAATTTATTTTTTTTACTTTATTGGGATTTTACAAATATATTTCATTTATAATTAGATCTTTTCATCTAAATCCAGACAGATCTAAAAACAAAGGGACGTCATTGATTATAAACCTGTATTGCAGATTGGCTTTCATATACACTAATGATGATCAAATCTGACAAAACCTGAATTAAAACAGAATTTAAACCAACCTCTTGCATACTATCATCCTAGTGTTCTACCAATTGAGCCATGAGATCCAGCTTCTTACTAGTTCACTGTTTCATCTTAATCTGTCAACTTTACCCAACATCACCGACTATTAGGAGCAATCTCCTAGCTAAGGTAATCAAATAGACAAATTTTTCTTACTTATCAAATTCATATCATCCATCCTTCTTATTCTTTTATTAATTACAATTCTAGAATGAGAATCCAATGTTACAAACAGACTACATAGAATTATTCAATAATGGAAATGTTGTTGTAACATATGAATGGACTGTAAGTTCACAAGTTCATCATTAACTTGTCATTTTCAGTACTAATCTAAAATTAAAAACCTGTTTTTTCATCATAGTGAGCATAGACGTTATTTTTACCTACCATACTTATTTAAAAATACAACTAAAAATGCCAATACTGATCATATTCCACTTATGAATTCCTAGATATATTTCTAATGAACCATCCTCGTATAAGGGTGATTGTCAAGGACATTAAATATACTATATTTCATGCATTTACTCCCATTTATGAATTGACAACACAATTTAAGATCAATAACATGGCACCATTTTGTTACGTTGCTTTATCTTCATCTGCTTACAACCTGAATTATCAAGAATAGTTAAATACAATGGAAGTTTAACACTTAATTACAAAAGTATCCACATTTAATCAGTTGTTGGAATAGGTAGACATAATGAAGTTTTACAAGATAATTAACAAAGAAACCGGCTTAGGTTTTCCAGGTTTTGCTGAAACTGTCTGGCCAACAAACATCTGAAACCATCATCACTTTGCTTTTGCTTTGATAATTCAATTTCAAAATTCCACTCTTACTTTCTAACATAATCTTTTTGTTAAATTTTGGTGCCTTTTATGTGCATCATCTTTGATGAAACTCAATGTGTTCATATTGATTAGTTGAGTTGAACTCACAATATTTTATGGAATCTGTTTATTGACCAACTTAAAGTGATCACTCATTCTAATTGCCACAATGGTTTGTGATACCCCGGCCAATTTTCAAAGACTTTCAGTTGTACAATGTATACAAACATGATATTTGAGTATGTTGTTTCAACCTTCTTCAGGTTGGTTACTCCCATTCACACTTTGTTGCTTCTTGTATGTTCCGATAGGTAACTGAATGTTCGTCCTTAGGAATTAAAGTATGCTAAACTTCCATTTTCAGGACTCAAACTGTATATAACTGAAGCAAAATCATCGAAATAGAATGATGCTATATTAATCTACTCAAACATTTTGATTGCACTATTTTTAAAGATAAAGTAGCTTTGAGACATTAACAGATGGATAGTTTTATTGTATTTAAATAACGTCTTAGATAGATACAACCACTATAATATTCAAGATTTCCAGTATTAGTCAAGGTGATAAACATGCAAAATCACTCCACTTCTAATTACGTCGATTGATGAACTTGAATATAAGGGTATGTAAATGAACTATCACTTACGAAATAAACTACAACTTACATACATGTAAGCAAACTAAAGATTGAGCCTCATAGTACATCTTTCCTTATATCAGTAGGTGTAAATAGCAGTGAACATGAATTCAAATTGAAAGAGAGGCGATCCGTGATCAAAAACATTTAGTGAATCAGAAACATTTCTAGATACTCGTGTTTACATCAGTCATTGAGACCGCTATTGTATGCCAGTTTTACCAACTAGTGATGTAACCGACAAGTACATTAGGTGGTCAATGGAGAACAACTATTTTTTTGTGGTCTACTGTGAAGGACTGACTGAATTCTATAAATCATTTTGCAGTGTGGCCACCAAGCTTTGAGGTTCATCATCTCCAGGTACTTTGATGGATGTCAGTTAATCGATCGCCCCCAACTAACTAACATTCATCAAAGCGGTAAATATCATTAGAAGTGCATTTCTAGTGAAAACAACTGGATACATTTCAGGTCGTCTAGGCAAGATATAAACTAATCATGAATGTTTGTACTGAAGATGCTGTCTAGCAAGATAGTGAAAACCTGATGAACATACCATACACCCAGTAATCTTTTCTCATAGATGAGAACAATGCTGGTAGGAGTAGTGAGAACTTATTTCAATCAGTACTTACAGAATACTGTAACTCTGTAATGAATCTCTTTTTTTTAGCTACGTTTTCCTCCAGCGTCTTTCGATTCCTCCTGTTTCTCTTTCCACAACTTTCACTGGTTGACTGTATGTTTTTGTAACTTCCAATGATGGCCCCACACTGTATACTACTTAAACTTACTGTTACCAGTAACATACACCACTTCAGTCACATGAAATTTTAAATATGTTGAAACAGACTTCATTGGAACACTTTTATTTACCTCTGAGGTATGACATGTAAAGAAAATTTACTTTACATGATCTAAACCACTGGCTGCTTCACCTGTATGTAGGAGACACATAAACTAAAACTTCGGTCTGACAAGACAAGAACAGTTTTTCTTTAAGTAAACGTATTGCTGACAAGTGTATAAGTGTATAATACACTTAATACAATAAAATCGAGGTATTGTTGTTTATACATTTAGACTGAAATTTTCTTTTTCATGGGAGTTTTAATAATTTACAATGCTGACTTATGTGAAGACAGTGTTGAAATATTTCTTGTTAATTTTAGCGTGTTCACCAGCAGAATCATTTTGAATTGGCGAATAAAGATAATAGAGTATTTTATTTCGATTCAAAACCAGGTGAGTAATATGAAACTAAACTTCAAAAAAGAACTAATTTGTAATGAATTGATGTCTTAGGATTCACAAATATTGTAGAAGATAACCTCTAGATTATAAAATCTCTAATTTCAACCTCACCAGAACACAGTATACTTACTTAGGCTTTAGTAGTTATCTGCATACGAATATCAGAGAGGGATAATTGGATGCGAAGTTTATGCAAAGTTAACAAGAAAGACTGATAGAACGTTAAGGGAAAAGACTCTATTGTCTTTAAGTCACAAGAAAAATCCAATCACACCTCTTGCAACTCGTATCTGATGAGTATTCAGCTTAAATGTGTAGAAAGAGGGGGTTTACCTTCTCAGAAAAATTCTCTCCAGAAGAACCCCTCACATTTTATCAACAAGGAAGATAACACCCAAAACTTATGGTGAGAACTTTGCCTTTATGCCAAAAAAAATTCTATACATCGGTATAAACTTCAAACTCTCTTCGCAGAACATTCTTTGCATCAATATTGAGACTAGTGCTTAACTATCCCCCCATTTTTCGTCAACAACTCGAAGAATAAACCGTTGCATTTGATCACTTCTGAGTGTGAGATATATGGGTTGTTGGGTTTAACTTTTATCCACGAGATCCCAAGAACACTTTGCAGTATGACTACATAATGACTGAGGGTTTGTCAGAGGTGGTACCATTATTGCACACGTTGTCAATGCCAATTATTTGATCTAAAACGACTCCTTACCCAAAGTTGTTTATAAAGTTAAACTAAATTATTCGAAGACGACCGTACATTTTCGTAGTCCTTGCATCACTGAGGCCCTAGTGATTCATGTAAAATATTCTGACCAAATTTCATGATACAAACTTGTTCAATTTTTTTTTCCTCTCATGGTCCTAACCCTATTTCAATCTGTCAAAATCACTATTTTCTGTCATTGTATAATCTTTATTCGTTTCTGTTACTAAGCTGTTTTTGACTGTATCTAACCTCTTGTGGTTGTGTTATATAACACCATATCCAGACCAACTGTCCTTCCCACAACTTCTGCCATATTTTGATCAACTTCCACGATTTATAACAACTTTGATTGTTTCAATATATCAGTGACATTTTAAGAACTAGTATTTTATTGTTTATTTGCTACTGTATTAAACGAAATACTGTGACTATATAACACACTAGAGATGTTCATTAAAAATTGTAAATGTTTACGATTATGAAGCTGTGCGAATGAAATCGTTCAAAGGGTACTCTTTGCTAATGTAATTGAGCTAAAAGAAAATCAGCGAATAAACACAATACTTAGAAGTAATAGGGAGATTATTCACAGAATTCACTGTTTATTACCAAAAGAGTTGATGATTAACTTATTTGACCTCCAGAAAGTATAAACGTAAGAATTTGAACTTTGATTGAGTGAAATTGCACAAGTATACACAAATTTTAGAAGTAAATTCGTTGATCACTGCGGGGTAACGAAGTTCATATTGTCTAGTCCTAAGTACTGGTCAGACTCTATTGGTCACTTTGCAATGTGGTCACCAAGTTAGAAGACTCACCGTAGCGATGCTCTGAAATAGAGGTTAATTTCAAAATAATTGATAGAATTTGGTTAGCACTTAGGACTAGACAACATGAAGTTCATTACCCTTCAACGATCAACTAATGTATGTAGTCCAGCATTATGGGTGGTTAAGCAGAGCTTCCTACTGATTGTCACCATCCAACTAAAACCCTGGAGGTTGCGACTCGTTGTCTTTTTTCCCAAAGTATTTCTATGTTTACCTCATATACTTTGCCAAACAGTTAATAACCTAATGAGGGATTTGGTTCTCTGTGATCCCTGTAATACAAAATTTGCAAGAATAAATTAAAGAAAATGCAATGAAGCATGTCTGTTTGTTCCCCGTATTTACTCAGGATGATAACAGCATATATTTATCCTCTCTTATTTATAATTAGGTGGCAAGAAACTGACATAATACAATCCGGAAGTTATATTCTGTGAAATATACTATTTATGGGTTTTTGGCTTTGAATATTGAGATCTATGGTAAAATAAGAAAATGGATTAGAACATTCAAGTCATGAAGTGGTCTAGATGTTTGTCGATCCCATTCTGTAACTACTTTGACGTTATTGGCTGGTATCACTCGTTTATACAATATAACCATTAAAAAGTGTACACTTAATCGTATGTGACAAGATAGTAAGATGTTAGTTACTGCATTCAGACTTCAAAGCACCAGACAGTATTGAAAGCATAGTAGGATAAGGAATGAAATCATGCGAATATCAAATCCCATAGATCATGAACAATTCATAAGTAATATAAGTGAAAAACTTGGGCACTGTGGTAGAATGTAGTTCCATATTAGATTTGTTTATTTGATATAAAGCGCACAGTGATACAGTATTATTTAATTGATGACGTTTCGAGCATAAATTATTGCTCATAATCATATCAATGTAATCACACTTCTTTCGACATCTGACAGGACTATAAAATCAGATGTCGAAAGAAGTGTGATTACATTGATATGATTATGAGCAATAATTTATGCTCGAAACGTAATCAATTAAATAATACTGTATCACTGTGCGCTTTATAAGTAACTTTCACTCAACTACCACTTAAAGAAACTTGCCGAAACAACAAGGGAAGTGGTATATTTTCTCTGTTGTGTTATATTTTTTTGAGCTGGACAGTTTGATCATGAAGCTTCCATTGTCTAGCACTAACTTTATCATGAAGTGAGCCACTAGGGTTTCGCTCCGAGTATGTGAGTAGCCTGTCCTGAAAAAATAGTATAAGATTGGCAGTTGTATTAAATCTGGAATATTTGTTTCTCTGTTGAATACTTTACTTCCAAGTACTGAAGTCAAGTAAGTGAGAAAGCTATACCAAATTTGCTGTTACTTGACAAACAGTGGAATGAATTAAAAGCTATACCACTTGCAGATGGCTACTGAACACTTTTTATCGGCATCACTGCTATTCAGTCCCACTCAATAGGATATATTGTCTATTTTTCATACCAACGGTCATGAAACCATTGATGGTACCAAGCAGATTAAAAACTTTGGTGCGGATATTTCACCGTGCAATCGAAACCAAAGTGAAATTTTACATTTGCTTCTCATTCTCAATATGAATTGTGTAGTCATTTAGTTTCTAATTAGGCATGACTGATTAAACCACTGTTTTTGGTTTCAATGACTTCCCCCTGTTTTTAGCATATTCAACGAATAGTAGTCAAATCATTAGTGAGAGAATTAGCTTAAGAATATCAATAAATCAGTCAAATAGATAAACCCTAGTTTACCTTTGCACTCCGTTTTCAGTAGATGTACTATGATTAGTTTTAACTTGGAACGCTAGACGTTTTTATGAGGTTTCTGCCTTTATATCTTAAACGTTATACGTGATGATCTTGGCTTCATTCACCACAGTACTAGGAGGTAAACGTTTGGGTCCATTCCCCTCCAAAATATAATAGAGTCTAAACTACGTTTGATCAGGAGTTTTACAATTTCACTAAGGAATTTGGAACCACCTATTTAGTCACTCTTTAACAAAAGATGCCATCCAACTTACGATTATCTAATCTGTCACTGTGCGCATACTCACTTCATTTGAAGAGTATTATACATGTTTTGCTTACTTATTGATAAAGTCCTTCATTTATTTGCTAATTATTTTTTAAAGGTCTAGTGCAGCCAGGGGAGATAGTCCACTTACCTGTTACACTTAAATCTCCACACGAAGGAATCCATAAAGAGATTTGGCGTTTTAACACAACACCAGTTCTCAAAGGAATGTCCCCGGTTCGTGTACATTTTCATGCTATTTGTGTTTGGCCAGAATACCATCAATTTTGTTCTATTCTGGCAAAAGATATATTTATTCAAGTAAGAAATTCCGTTTTATTTATCTGATGTTACATTTTTCTAATTTTGTGTTATGCACGAAACATCATTTTCCAGATGATTGTAAAAACGAAATTCTGAATATTTAGGCACATCAACAAAAAGTGGAAATATTTCCGTAAACATCTAGTAGCAACCTGGGTCAGCAAGGATATCTAGCAAAATTAAATTAAAATCTAAATTGCAAACCTCCTTGTTATCACGAAACACTTTTGTAGTCTATCATTTATTGAAGTGACATCAGAATTTCATGTATTTTTCCAGGATAAAGACTTCATTGCTGCAATCAAGTAGTCTGGTCAAAATAAACTATGTGCTACTGAGTGATTTGGAATATCTTCTGGCTTGTGTTATTTGAGATAAGAAAAGTGTCACTTTGACTGTCAAACTACCTACTTCTCTAAGACTATATTAACCAGTCGAACATAACTTTTACCTCCAGAACTGATTTCAAACATTGCTCATACTGTTTTCCTGGACGACAGCTGCTACCTTGACACGGTGGTCGGGCTTGTACATCACAATGACTTAACCGGCTACACTGGCTGGAAAGCTTGCTCACTCGGGGTCCTACCATGCCACGAACACCTGTTGGATAGTCGTAAGACGAAAAGTAGTTACTGCTGAAGTGTAAATTATTACACTGTGATGAGAGGTCTGAGGGTGAGGTCTAACTGCTCGTAGCTGGATTGGGTGTAACAACATTTCCCTTAAGTGACCGGCAGTTCCATGTTGATTTTGCCTTCCTTATGGGAAGCGAAACTTAGAAAAGGTTGATTCCCAAAACAACACACTCCTTCCTGCCCCACGGTTTTCCAGTGGCATGGGATTTCCCTATCCGGCGTTAGAACAACCAAACCTCAAAACAACAACTTGCAAAAGAATGTTCGATAGGCCTCAAGCAGACGTCCCATGGGCTCGGTGGTCACATAAATATTTTTCTCTTTCAGGTGCCTTAAGAAGAAATAGCTCTCCACGGTGGGGTCAGCTGGAACGTATCAACTACACGCACGCTTCCAGTAGTCTTATACTGTTTTTAAAATAGAATTGTAATCCCGTAGTTTCACTTGAAACTTTCAAGAACAATAAGGTTGGCTTAGGAATTAAAAAAACTGTGATCACAATCTTTCATTCACAAGTTATCCACAAACTGAAGCCAATGAATGAAGCAAGCACTTGCGGTAATTCAGATAGTTTTTTTTTATAAACAGAATATAAGCAGATATATTAGCAGTAGTACACTATTAGCCACTTTAGTGTTCACCAGAATAACCAATAGGAGTTTGATGAAACGTCTGACTGTCAAACATGCATATAATCTTGAGGAGAAGTACATTGAGGATACAGATGAGACTCACTCATTCATTCATGTGGGATTTATCTGCTGCGTAAACAGAGATATCTTTGTTAACCCTACATATCACATGCATCACACCATATCTTCTGCCTTGGTCTTAAGACATTGATTTGATCTAGAAAACAGCTCATAAAATGAGTGTAGTTAAAACTCGACACCTCAATGCGATTTTGCATACGGAACACTGTGAACCAAGAAATCAGAATTCGTCCGAATTAATATTTTTCAACTTCATGTCGGAATTATTAGTTCTGTGTTAATTTTATTCTGAACTACTACGGTTGAGATTCGTTCTAGATGGTCAAATCCACTGGGGTTTATTTGTGATCTCGAAGTTCTTACTGTCATAGTTTTCATAATTTGAGTCAATCAGTGGTAAAGTCAGGGACATTACCACTGATTTATTTCGATGGTGTTGTGTTCTCTGAGCTCGATTGTTTAATTATGGAGCTTCCGTTGCCACTCTAGACAATATCATCGGCACAAACTTCAGAAAAAGTGAGAGATAAAGTTTTCTCCTCAGTTTATTTAGTAGATTGTCCTGATGGCCTTGTATGTGGTTGGTTGTTTCTTTAAAGATCTTTTCATTGTCTCCGTGTTTATTTTAATTGGTTGTCCTGATCACCTGAAATTCTACCTTCTTGTTGTTTCTTATTAGTTGATAGATTCAGTCCATGTCAATATGTCTGCTGATTGCTGACTGACCTGAATGCCAAGCTTCTGAAAATTCTCTGGCATTCTTTGTATTTCCTCTATCCAGGATTTTCACATATTCCCAATCAAACTGATGTTCACAGTTGTCTATATGCATTGACATGAGCGAAGATATGTCATGACGCTTCACTTCTAGTTGATGTTTATGTAGACAGATACGAATAGGGTGACCACTCTGTCCGATTTACTGTTTTTGACAGTTTCTACAGCTTATTTTGTAGATAATTATTCCGAAAATGACCTGATGATTATCGCCAATCATCTATCATCAAACACGATACCGAGTGTTATCCAGAGACTAATAACAAGAATTATGGGTACGACAAATAGAATGTAATCGGAAATAATGACTTCAAAAAACGTAAGTGTCGATTTTGCTGTGATCAGCTGATATGACTATAAGCAATAAAACGGGCTTCAAACGTCATCCAGTAAATAAGATTATTTTACAGATTTATTCATCTAATAAACTAAATAAAGTGAAATTATGTTCTACCATACTGCCCAAATCATTCTATCGGACTAGTGTCACTTATTCAGTCCACAAGCGTTACCCATGACACAATTCAGATTTCAGGTGAGTATTCATCAAGGACTGACATCAGTTGGGGGAACATTAGAAACCTGAAAACAATGGGCAGCTTTTTCATCGTAGTATATGACTCCTCAGCACTGCTCCGGGGGTCAAACCTATGGCCTTCAGGTTCCGCGGATTCCGACCTAATGGTTCAATGGCAACGTGCTAGCTCCAAAACCTGAAGCTTTTGGACTCGACCCCCGCTGAAGTCATCGATACGCACCAGTGACGAGTTCTACACGGCTATCCGATGCTTCAGGTTTTCAATGCTTCTCCATTCCATGTCACTTCATGATGAATACCAACGTGAAATATATAAATAAATCCCCATAAACATCCAAACCGATAAAATTCAGATTTTGGACTGTTGAGAAATGCATCTAACATTCTCTGATCTCTGAAACAGTTTAAGTATGAAGTAAAGATACTCAGACCAAAGAACCTGCTAGCATCGAAATGATTCATTGTTTACATAGTAATTATATGTGCTTGAAGAATCTACAAGATGTCTTACCATTAGCATTCGAACTTAATTTTAAGCTTCACTTCTTTCATACTATGACACTTTCTGTTTTGAAGGTGATGTAGTTAGCTTTTAATCTAGGAAAATGGGTAGAGAATCCAGAAACTTTTCTATTTCATTCTGTAAATATCATTATCGTGTCAAAAGACAGTAAATTGAAGCCATGTGGACTGAAAAATATTTTAAAACTAGTGTGTATTCCTCTAAAATCATACATTTAAATTCTGGTGTCTTTTATAAATATTATTATCGTAGGTTTCCCATTCCTTCATTCTTAAACGAAACGAGCCTTAAAAAGGTACACTACCATTCTTTTCACATGACAAATCCAAGTGTTTTTGTCAGTACGAAAAGTTCAACAGTTAATTAATTTTTGTTAATTGGAAGGAGGGTTAAATTCTGTTCTTTTGAGATTGCTCAACATAAATAATACTAATAAAGATGATTTTAACTTCCTGAAACCTATGGGATCTGAGTATCTACACCTTTACGGACTTCCTAAAACACATAAAGCCAATAATCCACCCCGTCCATTATTGTCACCCACACATTAACTAGCAAAAGGGCTGGCAAAACTCTTGAATGCTATTAGAAGCCAAGTTTGTAAGTTTCCGTTGGAAGATACATTTGAACTTTTTGACCAACTAAGCGATACCATTATTAGGAATAAGACTATGTATTCTTTTGATATGAATTCTTTATTTACTTATGTACCACTGACTATGACAGTTGATATTCTCTGTAACAATATTTCTTTCGGAAATCTTTTACTCCCTATTTCCCTTACAATTCTCAAAGATATTATTATTATTATGTACTGATAATGTCCAATTCCAAATCGAAGGCAAACATTTTCAATAGACATTATGTTTCAACGGGTAGTCCTGTAGGTCCCCTGCTGGTTGAAGTGTATATGTTATACGTCTAAGAGTTAACCAAAGGATTGGCTAGAAAAGCTTGGTTTTATAAGAGATATGTAAATGACATTTTTGTTATTTGTGGAAAACGTGAGGAGGCAATGTGCTTACTAGACAAAATCAATGCACAAAGCCACATTAGCCTCACGAAGCAGAAGAAGTGGATGACAAACTACGATTTTTAGACATAGTGATTATTCAAAAAAGCGATGGTTCAATCAGAAGGTATTTCCGCAAGAAGCTGACTTGGACAAAACAACACCTTATTTCCCATAGTTCCGTCCAGCCCGACACAAGCGCCGCTTGGTCAGGTGTTCATTTAATAAAGTTCATCATATATGTACAAATGATAACAGAAATACAAGCGAAATTCCCTACTGATACATCACTGCAAAATGGATATTTATTAAATTCATCAACAGATGTAAAATTGGTATAACATTGACACCGATTAATCAGCATTCTGTCCCCAAGAAAAATGAATATATCACATTGTCATACAGGAGTGAAGCGAATAGCCTAATCTTGAAGAAAAGGCTCAAATCAGCTGTTAGCAGGACGTACTACACAGCTAAGATTATCTTAGTGAAGAAGACAAAGCCAGTGCTTCAACAAAAACCTAAACAGCATTTGAACGTGTATATCACATCCCAATGTGTATATCAATTTACATGTAAATGTGGACATACATACATAGGGAGCAGCAATGGTGACATGCAGTTAAGAATGATTGAATGTGTGCCTAAATGGCTCTAGAAACAAGTAACCTGTAGTAATTTCGTAAGTACAGGTGACAAACGTCCTTTCTCATCGATAGTTAAATACATATTAGAAACTGGTCATGGGATTGATATCAAGACAGCCTTTACTGTACTGTATAGATATGATAACAGAGCGAATACTTAGATTTGTCGAAGCATCTAATATCCATAAATTCACATCCCTTCTATGTATTTAGAAGCAATTTGTGCTAACACCAAACCTACCGTGGTGGTGTTAAGTTTAACTTTTATTCTACTGATGGTAGTGATTTAACCTTTGATTATTTTTCTCTTCTTTTTTCGTTCTGCCCTTGTTATCTTTCTTAATTATAATTCCATTGGCTTAATTAACCTTTCTAAGTTTTATAGAATTTATTCAAGAAGTTCATATGTGATCAGATTGTTCGAAATGTATAGAGATAATACATTAAATGTTTCAGATAATCTCTGTCTTCTCATTACGTCATTCGAATACATGTTAGCTTACCTTCCCATGGTGATGTACATGTTCGATAGCACAATTTATAATAGTTAAACTAAGAAATAGGTAAAATCATTTCATATTTGTTTTATCCATATTCTGGTGATATATTACCTACATTATCTGTGACATAAAACTCAATTTATATCCCAGACTGTTATACTGTAATAAATTAACATTACAATTATTCAATAAGTCATCTTCTTTACACTTAGTTGGAACATGAAGCTAACTATCGAATGGTATACCGTATCTTGGAGAACTTAATAATGAATATACAACCTGATGAACGCCCACCAAGTCCCATCCCTGAACCAGATACAGGCGAAGAGATATTTGCTTTATCTAATCCAACTGTAAGCTTTATATGCTTTTATGGTTTCATTGACTTGATATTATGTAAATTTTGATTCCTTTTTAAGAATTCTGATATAACATTTCGAGATAAGTACTGTAACTTTGTGTTGTGGGTTTATCTTATTGTAATTTTTTTTCTAAAATGTTAAGAAAAAGATTAAAATTGATCCTAATGAACCAGTTCAACTTCTAGCCTTATTGTTTATAAGAACTGAATGTAGAAGTATTCGACAACTTCCCTTGTATTAACGGTTTACGTTCATACCTTTATTATTTTTATTATTATTATTAGTCCCTTGGGTTCCTAGTGGAACATAGGGCTTCAGTAGCACGCCTCCAGTGACCTCTGTTCTCTGAGATCTTTTGAACCTGGTTCCACGACAGCCCAGAAGCTCTCATTTCCTCCTCGCACGACCTCCTCCATGTCACCCTCGGACGTCCAACTCGTCGCTTCCCATGGGGATTCCACTCGAGGGCCTGACGCGTGATGTCCTCAGTCGGCCTTCTCAGTGTATGCCCAATCCATCTCCACTTCTTCCTGCATATTTGTTGCGTGATAGGTTCTTGGTTGGTTCGTTCCCAGAGTTCCTTGTTGCTTATTTTTTCTGGCCATCTGATCTTCAGCAGCGAGCGTAAGCAGTTGTTGATGAATGTCTGTAGTTTATTGGAAATGCCTTTCGTGACGCGCCAAGTCTCTGAGCCATACAAGAGCACTGACTTGACGTTGGTGTTGAAAATCCGTATCTTGTTCCGCATGCTGAGTGCAGAAGATCTCCACACTGGTTTCAGGCTAATGAATGCCTGTCTTGCTTTTCCGATTCTGACTTTGACGTCCTCGTCCGTCCCGCCTGTAGTTGAAACAGTGCTTCCTAGATAAGTGAAGGAGGTTACTTCCTTCAAGTTTCTACCGTTGACGGTGATTGGAGTTTGTTGTTGTTGTTGATGGTGGTGGTGCGGTATCTTCATCACTTCTGTCTTCTCTATATTCACCTGAAGTCCCGTCTTAGCTGCCTCCTCTGTCAACTTGTTAGTTTTTGCCTGCAGATCTTCAAGTTTATGTGACATTAGGCATAAGTCATCGGCGAAATCCAAGTCTTCTAGGTTCTTTTCCGTCGTCCAGTGTATCCCCCTCTTCTCGCTGCCTACTGTTTGCTGCATGATCCAGTCCACCACAATTAGGAATATCATGGGGGATAGTAGGCAACCTTGTTTCACTCCTGTCTTCACTTCAAAGGCATCACTGAGCTTCCCATTGTGGATTACTTGGCATGTGGCATCTTCATATAGTTGTTGAATGAGGCGGATAAAGGTTTGCGGTACTCCGTAGTATTGAAGCAGTTTCCAAATTACTTCTCGGTCGACGCTGTCAAAGGCCTTCTCAAAGTCGATGAAGTTGAGGTATAGAGCTGATTGCCATTCTACGCTCTGTTCTATGATGATACGAAGCGTTGCAATTTGGTCAGCACATGATTTGTACTTCCTGAAGCCTGCCTGTTCCGGTCGCAGTTTTGAATCCAGTGCGTCTTTAAGCCTCTCCAGGATGATGCGGCTTAATATTTTACTTGGGGTGGATAGGAGAGTGATTCCTCGCCAGTTCTTGCAAGCACTGAGGTCTCCCTTCTTCGGCAGTTTGACAAGGTAACCCTTCTTCCAATCGTCAGGTACCTTCTCTTCCCTCCACACCTTCTGCAATAGTGGTGTGAGCATGTCCGCTGTTGTCTCTGCATCTGTTCTCAGTGCTTCTGGCGGTATTCCATCTGGTCCTGCTGCTTTCCCGCATTTCAGTAGCTTTATGGCGTTCAGGACTTCCATTTTCGTTGGGGGATTTATGTTCACTTGTAATTCAGCGGCTGCAGGTGGTATTTCTGGACGAAGTGCAGGTGGTGGTCGATTCAAGAGCTTCTTGAAGTGGTCGGCCCATCGTTTCCTCTGTTTCTCTTCTTTTGTAATTAAATTTCCTTCTTCATCTTTTATTGGTTTCATCTGTGTTGGTCTCTTCCCTGATAGCAACCTGGTTATTTGATACAATGTCGTCAGGTCTCTCTTACCTGCAGCCTGTTCTGCTTCACTTGCCAGTGTGTCGTAGAAGTGTCGTTTGTCTTTGCGTGCACTCTTCTTCACTTCTTTATCCAGTGTTTTATACATTGTGCTCAGTTCCTCTTGTCGTTGAGCATCCTTGCACTGGTTTATCTTCTGCTTCACCATCCTCCTCTCCTCTATCAGCTTCCAGGTATCCGTCGAGATCCATTCCTTGTCTTCTTTCTTCTTCCTTCCTAATACTGTTGTGCAGGTTTCTTTCCACATAGCTTTCAAAGACTTCCAGTGTTCTTCCACACAGGTTTCTTCAGGGATGTCCCTCGACGTCTCCCATTTTGTCTTGATGGCTGCTTTGAAGATCTCCTTTGTAGTTTCATCCTTCAGTTTCCGAGTGTTGTACTTGAATTGAGGTCTATCACCAGCTTCCTTGAAGGCTTTTAACTTGATTTGGAAGGTTCCTTGCACTAGATAGTGGTCTGAACCTACATCTGCTCCTCTTCTTGACCTTGTGTTAAGTAGACTGCGTCTCCATTTTCTTGAGATTGAGATAAAGTCGATTTGGTTTTTAGTGTGTCCATCTGGTGAAATCCATGTCGCTTTGTGGATATCCTTGTGCCTGAACACACTGCCTCCAATCACCAAATCGTTGAATGCACAGAATTCTGCAAACAATTCTCCATTCTCATTCATTTCACCTAGCGCCTCTCGACCCATGGTTAGTTCTCTTCCCGTGTTGTCCCCTCCCAGTTTGGCATTCATGTCGCCCATTAGAATTTTGATATCGCCAACTGACGTCTTGTCCAGTGTTGATTGAAGTTGTCTGTAGAATTCCTCCTTTTTCTCTTGCTCTGCATTATTTGTAGGTGCATAACATTGTATGATTGTGACCTTTCTTCCTTTTGAGTTGAATCTTGCTGTCATGATCCTGGAGGAGATTGGTTCCCACTGCATGAGAGCCTTCGATGCTCTTGAGGACATCATGATAGCCACTCCCTCAGTGTGCTCGTGGTTGGCGTCTGGGTGACCGGAGTAGATTATTGATTCTCCCGTTGACAGTTTGGAGAGTCCACTCCCATTCCATCTGCTTTCGCAAATCCCAAGCACTTCGATGTTATACCTTCTCATCTCCTTTGCAATCTGGGCTGCCTTACTGGGTTCAAACATCGTGCGGACATTCCATGTCCCCACGTTTACTTTCGCTTTCATCGAGAGAAGACACATCGGCCAATTGGCTTCCCGAAGGCTTTCACCAACTGGCGTCATTTCGCCTCTCCGATTCCAGCGGGGAATAAGTTTGTTTTCATTTTTTATATTTTGTTTGTGCTTTGAAGTTTCTTTAGCGGTTAGATTTGTTTTACGGGGTAGGGTTGCTAGCCCTATGCCCAACCTTCCCTCTTTACCCGGGCTTAGGACCGGCTAGTAACTAGTAAACTAGTTAACCAGGCGAGGTTACGTTCATACCTTGGTCTTCCATATCTACCCGACGCTGAACTCATTTATTTCTATTAGGTTTATTCTGGAGTCCTAAAGTTATAACGTTACAACTAGCCCAATTATTATTCTCAACAGCTTTTGTGGACTTATTAAAATGAATTAAAGTTTATCGCACGTGTATAAATCAACAAACCTGAAGCAGTTTTTAAGATTTTGTAGCCTGTTTTTCTTTTCAATTTAGGTTTTGAAGGATTTGAAGATGTCAGAACAAAATTTTAAACAAACCATAGCTTGGAAATCGAAAGCTTACATCAATAACCAAGTTTAGATTTAATAAAATGAGTTTTCAGCCTAAGTAGAATCAATTATTAGAACCATCGTAGTATGACACCGCTGAAATTCATTTCAAGGGGAGGGGTGGGAAAAAACCCATTTAATTAGTGTTCAAAGAAAACAAATCTATCTATCAAAAGCTATCCATTTGCCTAAATCGTTTATCAATATACCTAACCTAATGAAACCAGTAGACAATATATTCATTTGAAGACTTCTTACCGTAGCCTTAAATCAGTAATTAACACCAGCACCATAATGAATGACTAAACGGTATCGAGGTACGTACATACGAGCCCATATGCTGAAAGTAAATGATCACATTGATCCAGAATAACAACGGAAAATTAAAGTCATCAATAAATATAACTCACATCCGTTGCACAATAGGTGTCTGTTGTGCTTCAGTGTGGCCTAGTAGATAATGCTTTGGATGATGAAGCGACGGGTGATGGGTTTGGTTCTCAGCAGGAATAACATCATTCACTGAGGTGCAAGTATATCCAACTGACTAGTCTCAGATAGGGCGAGATGCGTCTCTCATATTCCACTTCTAGCCACCACCAAGTAATCTATCGAACAATGGCTATATTACAATTGATATCTTATCGTTGCTTATTAAATTCCCACGTAGATTTACCGTTTTAATTTTACAGTTAAACTATAGACACAGTATAATTCAAAAATTAAAACAACTATACAAAGAACTTAAAGAAAGAGAATGCAAAATCCTCGGAATCGACGTTGAAACCCTTTCACCAGGTACTGACAATTGGAAATATTCTGTTTCGGAACTCAGAAAAGTGAGTTTGAAGGCAACTAAATTTAATATGATTATCTGTTCACATGTTTTGGAAGTCCACCAAGGACTTCAAGATCTGGATGTGTTATCGCGAATCTCCATATGTTTATCTGCGTCAAAGTGCATAAAGGAAACACTGAAGTAGAAAAATACTGAAATCCCCCTTAAGTCTATATAATTCAGACCGATGTAATCTTCAGTATCATTCAAAGCCACGAAGTTTTTGATATGTATTTTGCGGGACCCAGAACTTACACTATAACTCTTCATAAACTATGAAACGCTCACAGTTGGCGTATGTAAAATAGGGTTTCTGATAAATATAGAAACTGCTTATAATTTATTAGGGGAACAGTCTTATCACTTGTATAGGCAAGTTAAAAACGCCTAATTAGCTTTTTGCATTTGTATCTTGATCAACAAATGTGCTACGTTGAATTGAAGTGATTGAAAGCACCAGCGTTGTTATCATACCCTACACAATAAAATGATCTCACTACTCCTGTTTAGTAGTATATACTGTTAGAAGACTGCTGCAAAGCATCATACACATTGAACTCTTTTTGTCACTTCTGAATCCTTTTTTTTCATTGTAACAGAGTTACGATTCAAGATGTAAGTCATTTTTGCTTATTAATGACTTGCTTCGAGATGGGATTCACAAAGTTCTTGTGCGAAGTTATGATTGGCGGCGACAACCAAGTTCGATGTAAGGACAGTTACTCAGCGACGATTATATCACTAAGTGTCAGGAGTAAAAAATGTGGCCCATTGGATTCTGACCCACTGGTTCGGTGGTAACGTGCTCACCGTGGAACCTATAAGTCTTAGGTTCGACCTCTTGGGGTATCATGGGTGAGCACTGCTGAGGAGTCCCACAGTGGAATGAAACAGCCGTCCGGTGCTCTCAGGTTTCCAATAGTTCACTAACCGATGTCAGTCAAAAATGAATATCAACCTGAAATCAATAAATAAATCCCCACGAACCCCCAAATTAAACTGGAACTAAGGATGACGTGAACGTATAAATATGAAAAGAACAATATTATTAGGCACACATGTATTTTGATTTCAATTTCACCTATACTTTTTCTCATCCCCTACAGTATTTGCTGCGGTGGCAATCGTGGTTGAACGGGGATGGTTACATTGAAAACTGGCATTATATGGTGATCATTTCGATGATCAGCTTCGCGGTTTACCTAGACCAACTCACTTATGAAAGTGATTGTTGTGAAGCTGTATGTGTCTTTATATAAACCTACTTCAAAGCGAAACATAAACAAGCGAGACTAAATATGTACCTAATGGGATAGGCAGTCAGTACAAACTCACAATTTACTCGTTCCACTCAAATTCTTTAGGTTTAAGTGGCTCTCTGTTGAAATCTTCTAGCTCTCAGCAATCGACTCTTTACGTTAATCTGCCAACACCACGTGAAGTGAAAGCTGAAACCTACTGAAGTTTGTTATACACCCAGTACGTGAGTACAGAGGACTAAACTTAATGGACGAAATATTCTATGTTGTCATAGTAGACTTTTCAGGAAATAGTGTTGAAATCTAAGTGATTTGTTGTCAAACATTTAGAGATCAATGTACTACACCTGTTTAGTCTTAGGTATTTTACACTGGGTGATGGTTGAAGGTGAGATGAAAATTTGGGCCACCTCAGGATTCCAATCAGCGACCACCGGGTTTCTGGTCCAGTGCTCTGTCGATTGAACAACAAGACCTGACTGCTGACCAGATTTTTATTTCACTTCAGTCACCAAGGGTTTTTCCCCGACTGCTATGTGAATTCATGAAGCGTTACTATCGTTTGACTGTATTCACACTGCTTGTAGAGTCAGGACTTCTCATCTCAGTCCAAACCTACTCGAATTAGAGAGAGGGAGCATCATATTTAAATCAGCTACCTTGGGGTTGCTGGTCTAAATTTTCATTCCCCTTCAAATTTAGATAGTCGAGTTGATAATACATTTTTAGTGAAATTATGTTCAAGGTATAGCTTCGATCAATGTGGATGAACATAATTTATCGATGGCAGTTTTGCAGTTTGTCTGAATATATTTGAAACTTTTATAAACGTTATCAATGAAGCAAAATTTATGTTGTATTCACTTATTTACTTATTACTTGTCAGGGCTTGTGAATTTATCAGTTCACAGCTGAGAGGTTAGTTTTCGTCCGCTGACCACGAATGTAATCATTTATTCTGAGTTCAGTTCTCGTTGAATAACCTTAACTACACGATTCATCAGTTCGCTTTACATTTTAAATGAAAAACTTGGGCACTGTGGTGGAATGTAATTCCATATTAGATTTGTTTATTTGATATGTAGCGCACAGTGATACATTATTATTTACTTGATTACGTTTGGAGCATAAATTATTGCTCATAATCATACCAATGTAATCACACTTCTTTCAATATCTGATTTTATAGTCCTGTCACCTGATTTTTTCTTTGTTTTTTGATTGGTAGTAAAGTTTTCCATATCTCTGGTATAGGTGTTGCGTCATTCCTATTACATGTGTTGGGTGTGGATTCGGTGAACAAAGACTCAGTAATTATTCTCTCTCTCCATCTAGCTATATTAGGCTTAAGTACAGTGGTTTAGTCCCACCCTATTGTGTGGTTGTGTGTTAATGAATGTAATGCAATGGCTGAGTGTTTTTCTAGATTATGGATCTTATTGGGGTCTGTCTTTCTATGTTTAGCTAAATTCCTATGTTCTGCTAATCTAACTGACCCCTACCGGTTAGTTTGACCTATGTATTTGACCTCACAGTCATTACATGGAATTTGGTAGATTATATTATTTCGCCTAATTGGTTCTATCGGATCTCTTAGCCGACAAAGCTTACCTCTAAGTGAGTTTGTTGGTTTAAATGCCACCCTAATTCAAACCTTGTTGAGAATCCTACGTATAGTTTCTGATGTTCCTTCCTTGCATGGTATCACAATAAAGGTGTTGATTTCCTTTCTACTTATGTTGTCGCTATTATTTGTATTTGTATTACTGTCATTATTTTGCTTCTTATGTTTTTGTGTGAATTTCTTAATAAAATGATAGGGATAATTATTAATTATTAACGCTTCTTCTATGTGTTTCAATTCCTTATTTAAGTCCTTACAATGGCTAGTGAGTTTCTTAGCTCTGTTATTTAGACATTTGACTAAACCCGCTTTAACTGACACTGGATGAGATGACTTGAAGTCTAGATACCTGTTAGAATGTGTTGGTTTTCTGTAGACGGTATTATCTAAACCACCATCTGTCCTTCGTTTTATTCTGCAATCCAACATAGGTAATTCTCCTTGTTCATTTTCCATTTAGTAAGTGAATTGGATTGCGTTAACTACTGAGTTTATTTGTGTCATGATACTGTCGATATGTTCCGATGTCAACACTGTAAGTGTGTCATCCACATATCGCCACCATATCTTAGGTGTCGGATTATATATATATATATATATATATATATATATATATATATATATATATGCTACTATAGGGGATATTGGTGATCCCATTGCTACTCCTTCTGTTTGTCTTTATATATGTTTCCCTGAAACTTGAAGACTGTTGAGGTGAAGCATAATTGCACTCCTAAGATCAATAATCTAGAAAAACACTCAGCCATTGCATTACATTCATTAACACACAACCACACAATAGGATGGGACAAAACCACTGTACTTAAGTCTAATATAGCTAGGTGGAGAGAGAGATTAATTACTGAATCTTTGTTCACCGAATCCACACCCAACACATGTAATAGGAATGACGCAACACCTATACCAGAGATATGGAAAACTTTACTACCAATCAAAAAACAAAGAAAAAATCAGGTGACAGGACTATAAAATCAGATATTGAAAGAAGTGTGATTACATTGGTATGATTATGAGCAATAATTTATGCTCCAAACGTAATCAAGTAAATAATAATGTATCACTGTGCGCTACATATCAAATAAACAAATCTAATATGGAATTTCACTTTATATTTTGCCATGTTTACTGTTTTTAAATGTCATAAAAGGCTATCTTTCAAGTAAGTTCAAAATCTTTGTATTTTTCTCATGGGATTAAGTTGTATATAATAGTTAGATAATGAATATACATGCATCTACTGCCATGTGATACATACTTCGTTTACAGATGATTTACAAATATCCACCTGATATGAGTAAAACCAATTCTGCAGTTAAAAGAGAAGAAGAATTCAACAGATTTTTCCAATCTGTTGACCAGTTGGCATTCCCTGTAAAAAGAAGCTTCATAAATTCATCTGTGGAACGCTACCGAATTGGGTATGTTTTTGATGACGAAAATTGTTTTAATGGAAAACATTGTCTGTCCTATCCTAAGTTTTATATCTTCTTTTCAAACACCAAACTGAATTTTACGAGGTGAAAAGAAGATTTTTTTTTCTAAACACAGGCTAGATGAAAGTTTAGCGTCAGACACAAAATTAACTAGCCGTCACATCCTCATGATTGTGTATCACTAACATCGCAGTTTGACAAAAATCTCTCACGAATGGATTACAGATAAGTTTAACATTATCGTACATCAAAATGTCATATATTGTCCTCATATATTTTTGAATGGGATGAGCACTATTTACTAAGCTTTCTACGTGAAACCAATTTCACATTTACTATAAAATTGGCTTATGTAGAGAAAACTTTTGATTCTTATCTCGGATGGCCTAAAAGTATATTTAAAAGATTTTGCCTCACCCAAACAGGGTCAGTGTTATAACGCTCTGAAATGCAAAAACGGTGCAGTCGTTCAAGATTGTTCGAAAGAAAGACTATGTTATCTAAATTGGTAGGCGAATGGCATTCTTGGCTATAGCTGCCTGAATTTTTAAACAGCTCTAAAGAATCAAACCGACTGTTAGCTTATATGCTTCGGACTCTTAAGAACGGCAAGTAATCGGTTAATCTATCCACCACAAACATACAGGAGGTTTTTTCCTGACTGGCCAAACAGTAATACCTATGTCTGTAAGGTAATTTGATGTGGTTTCCAGTCAGTGATGAAACAACAACCCTTTGGAGGTTGTAGGTATACCCTACTGATGACTACTAACTTGCACAAGACCATAGATTCAGGTTAACATCCTGCAGTCAATCTACATCAAACTAAATGCATCATAACGTTGTATCCTAGCGAAAAATAACTTCAAGGTAAACTCGAGTGATAAAGTTCTGTCAGTATTTAGGACAAAAAGAATTATATTCATTTATTCTCCACTGGTCATTTGGTGGGAAATAGTGTATCAGATCCATGAATTATGATTTCTTACGGCTTCTTAAGACCTGGATAACGTTCTTTCCTCTAAGTGTTTTCCAGAACATTAGGTTATTAGGTTAAGTTTACAAAGTAGTATTTACCACTAATAAAATTTCAGCAGCAGACAGATTTATTTAAGTTTTAGAACACAAGTCCTCTTCTTATTGCTTCTAATAGTATCTCTTTGCAAGTCTCCTCAGTCTGTACCTTTCCAAGCTATGAAAACACAACATTTTGAAGAGATATTTCTGGTACCTTGAAACCTTATCTCTGTTGTTATATGAAAAACACAGTTTCTTAGTCGAAACTCCACTACTTTTCTGCATAGACTTATGTTGGAATTCCACTGCATACACACACACATATAAGGCTCAAGTGTATTGACTCATCTTACCTCATCTACTAAGTGTAGTGGTTATACAATTGTCGAATTAAGAATGTCTGTGAATTCGTTTCTCATCTGTTGCGAAAGCAGACTTGTAATTATTGAACTTATTATGAGATAAGAAAATTCATTCCTTACCAGCTTCTAAACTCATAGTCGCTTGTCTTCTTTCTATTCAGCTGAACTTGAGATTATCAGAAAATAAGTCTGTATCGTATCCATTCTTAGACTCGACTGCACACTAATTATGACTTGTAGAAATGAACTCAGTCAAAATCTGTCACACCTGTTGTAAAAGAAAGGCAAATTTACATGTGTAAATAAATTAGTGAATTTATCCAGTTGAAAAGTCTGGAGACTGAGGGAAGTAAAATGGTGTTTTCAGTGAAGTTTTGGAACTTCAGCGAAACTTAAAACTATTTTAGTCATCTACTACAATCATTTTTCCTCTATTATAACCAAATTTAAAAATGCGAAAAAAAATTTCTAACTTGTTGATTCATAAAACTAGCTCAAAGCTTATATTGTGGTTCTTCACCATTGAAGGTTTTCATCGGGAAACTGTTGCTTTTTCTGGATAGATTTTTCGAGTGCTAATCACATTTTGGCTCAAGTATGGTAAAAACAGGCACAAATATAACTTACAAACCATCTTCAATTAATTAGTACAGTAAAAATTGGCTAGTACTGACCACTAGAAAACAAGAACTAACCCGTTTTCCATTTCTCCGGTATTCATCTTTAACTATAAAGCTCAGAACAAGTATTTTGGTAGTCATAAGGGATCCATAAATAAGGTTCTATCAAAAGGTACTCTTTTAAGTATTTGTAGGCGACCAGCAGAAAGCTGTTGACCCACTTTTTATGTCTACTATCATTTATCAATAAAAGGTATTTGCAGCATTGAGAAAATTCGTCTCCTCTCCGAAATATAGCTTGTAGTCACTTGGTTCCAGAGTAACAGGACCTACTACAAGAAGACCATGGACACCAGCAAAATCCTATCAAATGGATTGCGTATAAAAATTGGTAGCCGCAATATTCAGTCTTGTTCTAAAACTCTTAGTGTTCAGCTATGCCCATCTATCACACTTTTGATGTTATTAAACAAACACAAGGTGCACCAGAGTTGTCATTTAGCTTGATGTCATATGAAAGTTTGATCCAAAGATATTTATGAGTGCTTTAGACCGCCACCATTTCATATGCATGAAATTCTTGCAATAAAAGGTACTCGCTATTGACATTTAAGGTACTGTATCAACTTAGAAGGAAGTATAGATTACAGCATAAATTTTTATCATATTTGTAAATATTTTAATTCGAAATATCTTTCTTTGATAGTTGTATACTTTTGTCGCAAACATTCACCCATCTCTTTGAATTGTGTGCCAATCTTCGTGGAAACCATGGACTCCCAGAACTTACTAGCGGTCCAGTAAAATGTAAGCTATTGTGAATACTGTTAATTCAAATCAAAATATTCTTTTCTCGTAAGGTCATTTGTTAAAATTGTTTCAGGCAGACTATAATTTAAAGAAGAGGATTGATAGTGTACCTCTGAACAGAATATAATGATGATAGGTCATTAGGCCGTGTTCACAAAACAAGCTACTAAGCTGTTACTCAGTGAGGTGAACAGTTCATGACCTGAATACTAATTAAAGTGAAGAGATTATGAATTCCATAAGGTCAAAACTCTCATGAAGGTGAAGTGTAACATCACTGTGAATCTTAGATTTACACTCATACAGACGTTAAAATGAAAAATTTGGTTTGAAAACAATTTCCATCACAGATGGATAACGACTGAATGTCTGAGAACACTGGGCAACAGCTTTATTTCTTTTTGGGGCTCCCTAGCAGTGCGCTTGTAAGCTACAAGACTATCACTACTTATTGGTATACTTGTAATTCTCCGCTGTTTTACTGGTTTGGATTGTTCGACCTAGATTGGTATATGGGCTCCTATGCAAATGTCTCGATATAGCCTGAATATAAATTGCGACAATTTGCCTGATTGTGGCTACCAGAGGAATCCAGGACGCTCGTGTCGTCCTATTTGGGACTTTTCAGCTGGATGTACCTGCACGCCAGTGAGTGATGTTGTCCCATTTGTGACTGTGTCCTCGTACCTATCGCTTCAAACTCCAAAGCGTTATCCACTAGGCCACTGGGAGCCCATATACCAATAGAGGTCGAACAATTCGACCCATTAAAAGAGCAAAGAATTACAAGTATATCAATAAATAGTAACAACTAACACCCATTGTACAAGAGGTGGCTATCATGCCTTGATGGCCTAGTGGATAACGCTTTGGAGTTTGAAGCAGTGGGTACGAGATTACAGTCTCAAAGGGAACAACACTCATTGGGGTGCAGGTACATCCAGCTGACAAGTCCTAAATAGGACGAGAAACGTGTCCTGGTTTCACTGCTAGCCACATTCAAGTAAATGACCACAAGATTATGCTTATTATTTTCTCATCCTTATCTTCAGTGGATAATATTTTAGTTCTGTTGTTGTGTCAAATCCGCAGAAGCTGTTGTACTTCATAACAATGTGAAGATATAAGATATAAATAGGTGGTGTTTAAGTTAACAGATATTGTTCGCCAAGTACAATAAGCTATAAATCACTTTCTATCTGAAGACTTTTGGTTGAATTACAATCAAAAGAGCACTATGCCAAATGTGAACAAATAGATAAGCTTCTGTGACACTAGACTTATTCATTTACTTTGATTGAATGATGACTTCCTAACTCCAGGTGACTTAATATCATAGCACGAAATCACTAGACAAGTGACTGAATCCTATTTAGGTTGTAACGAAATAAACTGTCACTTTCATACAGCATATATGACGAAGGTAATTCAGGGACGAAACACTCACCAGATGACAAATCGGCGTTAGACAAACTTTTTACAAGAGCCAATCAGCCTTTAATAATAAGTTTAAGACTTTGTCTCCACCCCGTATGACACAACTGCATACTTCAGTGAATCAGGAATATAGATAAACAGAGATCTCTCACTTCTTCCCTATAGCTATAATAGCACCATGCCACAATAATCGAATTCTGCAAGCCCAATTGACTGATTTTCAAAAAAAATGGTGAGAATCTTGAAGGATGTTAGCAGAGAATATCGTAAAAGGCTGTAAATATACAGTGACTGAGACATGGGTTAGCCATAATGAACTACCATCTACCTTGATGCACGGTGCAAGCTGAGATAGGACTGAGCTAGAAGGAAGAGAGGGTTAACCTTGACTAAGAAGTAGTACCAGGCCATTGAATCTTAGAGTGTTCATCTGAACTGTTTAGAAATATTTAGACTACCCGGTTGAGATTTCGAAGATGTTAAGGGTCAGCGGTTATGTTAATATAAAAGTAAAACTTGAACACTGTGGTAGAATATAATCGCGTTTTAGTCTGTTTATTAGATGTACCACATAGTCAGACAGTTTCATCTACCAGATAACGTTTCGGACACAAATTATTATCCGTAGTCATATCAAGGTAAATCCACAAATTTCGGACGTTTGACGCACAGACAGATAAATTAACTCAGAACTTAACAAAACAGTAAGCAAGGTAGAAGTGGATGGAAGACGTGATATTAGGGTAAACAAAAGTGTATCAGAGGAGCGAGAACAAATGGATGAAGGTTAGTGAAAATACTCGAAATTTCGAACATGACAAGGAGTATATACAGTATGTATATTAGGTTGTTTTCACAGACTGAATTATCACTACCTGAACATGTATTTTGAGTGCATGCCTTGGTGATCTATTCACCAACCTTGTACTTCTTTATCGCTGTGTTTTATTTGCTTTTGTGGGTGTGTGTGTGTGTGTGTGTGAGATGTTAAATGAAGTATTGAAGTTGCTTTGAAGTGAACAGTTATTTAGGCTCACCAAAAATGGTGATGGGTAAAAAGTATTTTCCTTCTGGTTTTTTTATCAGATGTATTACATAGTGAGACAGAATTATTGACTAGATTACTTTTTAGACCCGACTTATCGTTCAGAGTTATATCGCGATACCTCTGCAGCTTTGAAATGGCTTACACAGTTCTAATACTTTCTCCTCCTTTGTGATATAGGTAGTAGAATTTTCCATATGTCTGAAACACGTATTTAGTCATCCCACTTGGCTTACTTGGCGATGATTCAATAAGCGATGATTTGATTATCATCCTCTTCTTCTTTCAGGTAATTGAGTTACATTGAAAGACTGTTACTCTATCCCAGTCTATAGTGTCGTTGTATGGTATTGCGTACATGGCTACAACTCAGTCTTTCTCTAAATTCTCTATCTAACTAGATTCTGCTAAATACGATCCAGCTAAAGTTTGTGCTTAGACAGCCTAATCGACTACTTCGACCCGTGTATTTAAACTCGCAATCATTGCATTATATTTGTCTATTCGCATCAGTAGGATTTTTTAACCTACAAAAGTTGCTTCTCGGTGACTACGTAGGTGCAGTACCACTCTAATTCCGACGGTCTGTGAATCTTACGAAACGTATCTGAGATTGCATCCATGTACGGTAATATCTTCGAGGTTTTGAATTTTATCTTCACAGTTGTTGCCAAAATGATAATAACAAATATATGTAACTACTACTAGTCATATTTTCCTTACAATTTCTTTTGAACTCATCAGTTGGTCTGGGAGGGCAGTTTATTGCTGAGTAGGGTGTCCTTAATCAATCTGATTTCTTATTTTAGAGCTGTCTTATTGGCAAGTACTTGGAATTACATTCCACCACAGTCTTCAAGTTTTACACATATTAAGGTTTCTTACCCTGTTACTGAGATACTTCACACACTCACACTTATTACACACAATGACATAATTGAATGGGATAGAGTAACAGTCCTTAAACATAACTTAGTCGCTCAAAAAAGGAAGAGAGCTATAACTGAATCATTGTTTATCGAATCAACACCAAAATACGTACAACAGAAATGACTCACTACATGTTTTAAATATATGGAAAGTTCTACTACCTACATCAAAAAGAAGGAGAGAATATTAGAAGTATATAAACCATATCTCAAACTTGTGGATTTACCTTGATATGACTATGGTGTTTGAAATGTTATCCGTTAAACAGCACTGTGGAATGCATCTAGTAAACTAACTGAAATGGAGTTAGGGGTTATGGACAATGCTTGATATTAGAGCAAAAGAGAAGTTCAGCGTAAGTTCCTCTGCAACCCTTCTCATTTCCTCTAATGTCCTAATTCAATGCGTGATGTGCTTCAAAATAAATTTCAATGTTTCATATATTCCCTCTCTATGATGTTTATATTTCACAGCATTTTGTTATTTTTCGTTTGTCTGACCTCTTCTAATTCTTCTTGTTCGCATGAAAGTTTTTTTTATTTCTGTCAATATTCTTTCTGGTCTATTACAAAGTAAAACATTACTATGCAATGTATCTTCCACAGAGTTCCACATTGTTCAATCCCTTTGTGCAGAATTCGCAAACTTTTCTAGTATATCATATAAATGACTGAATATGCTTCTACACTTTATCTCTGTATTTTATTTAGCTCAAAGAGGAACTAAAAATGTAAATCAAACATATGACAGAGCACCAATGTCTGCAGTAAACCGAGTGAGTAATCATTTTATTCAGACTTATATATATATATATATATATATATATATATATATATGACAGCGTTTACAGAACATAATTTTCTAGCTATATTGTAAAGTGTTTTGACTAGTCCACGCTTACAGCTGGCAGGACAGAAACTGTTGTAGTTGAGGTTCTGTCCAGTCCATGTGTTTATTCAATGAATGATTTTCTCAATCTTGTCATCAGTTCTTCTTCGTCTCAAGTCGAGGTTCAAAAAACTGAACTCGTTTTCATGCTCAGTTCCTGTCGTAAATTTATCGTTAGGATGAGTTTAGTTAAGCTTACCAAACAACTCACTTGCATTTTTTATATAATTACAAACAACAAAAGTATCGTCGATACACCTGCAGTAATAGGTTGTTTCTCTGATGACTGAATTCAGGCGCGTCTGTTTAAAATAACCTACGAAAATTGACAAGGTCATCTACAGAAAGAAAAGACACATGGACTGGACATTGCGTCAACTATATTAGTTTCTATCCTGGCAGATATAAACGTGAGCTAGTCAAAACACTTTACAACTGAACTAAGAAATTATGCTCTACGAACAAGTTGGAGAAAGAACGAAACTTTATTCGCAAGTATCATTGAGAGCATGGATGTCTTAAGAGATTTATTACGAAGTCCAAAAAGGAACAGATAGAGAGATATAAAAACCCAACTGTAGAAAAGAAGGCTTCAATACACCTTATACTTAAGCGAGACGTAGTATCTAAGCGAACAGACCCGAAAATCAAAGAAGCATTGAGAAGAAGCTTTCCTTGAGTTAAGCTTGTACCAGTACGCAATACCAAATCTTCACTGAACCAGTCAAAACTGGATAATTACCTTCCTCATGTCACTTCCAACTCTGTTTATGAACTGACATGCACTCGCGGTAGCAGATACGTTGGAAACACAAAGAGGAAGGCGTTCCCTACGTTTGTTGAGTATGTTCCCATGAATATATGCTTCAAAGAAGAATTCTAATCAGTGTAATCGCCAGGCAACCCGTAAACACAAGTCATCAGATTGAGACCTCAGATGTTTCTAAGATAATAATGTCTGGAATCGCATCACTGGAATCGGAGAGGTGAAGTGACGCCACTTGGTAAAAGACTTTGGAAAACCAATTTCCTGATGTATCATCTCTTCTCTCGATGCAAGCAAAAGTAAGCATAGGGACATAGAATGTCCGAACAACGTTTGAAGCTGGCTGGCAAAACTGCCCAGATTGACAAAGAGATGAGAAGATATATCATAAAAGTGCTAGGCTGGAAATCTGCGTGGAATCAGCAGATGGAATAAAGGTGGACTCTCCAAACTGTCAACTGGAAAGGAGTCAATAATCTACTCCGATATTGTCATCCAGACGACAACCACGAGCACAGCACACTGCGTTTTCCAGTGACTATCATGATTTCCCCAACAGCATCGAAGGCTCTCTCTCTCTCCCTCGTACAGTGGGAACCTATCTCCTGAACGACCAGGATCATGACAGCAATGTTCAACTCAAAAGGAAGGGAAGTCACAATCATACAACGCAACACTACACACCTACAAATGATGCAGATGAAGATAAGAAGAAGGAATTCTACAGACAACTGCAATCAGTAATGGAGACGACCCGACTCCAGTTGGTGACATCGAAATTCATTCTAATGGGTGGGGTGACATGAATACCAAACTGGGAGCGTACAACACAGGAAGAGGACTCATCATGGGTCGGGAGGCACTCGGTGAAATGAACGAGAATGGAGAACTGTTTACAGACTTCTGTGCACTCAACGTTTTGATCATTGGAGGCAGTGTGTACAAGCACAAGGATATTCACAAGGCAGAGACACAGATTTGAGTTCACCAGACACCAGGACACACTGAAAATCAGATCGACTTCATCTAAATCTCAAGAAGGTGGAGACAGCCTATTGGATACAAGATGAAGAAGGGGAGCAGATATAGGTTCACACCACTCACTGCCTAGTGCAAGGAAACTGCATTCAAAATCAAGTTGAAAGCCTTGAATTTTAAGGAGTTGGTGATAGGCCACAGTTCAAGTTCAACATGCAGAACAGAAACTGAGGAACAAAACTACAAGGGACATCTTCAAGTCAGTCAGTCAGTCAGTCAGTCAGTCAGTCAGTCATGAGGACAGAATGGGAGACATTGAGGAGCATCATTGAAGAAACCTGTGTGGAGGAACACTGGAACTGTTTGAAAGGGATGTGGAAGGAGACCTGCATAACCGTGTTAGAAAGGAAGAAGAAGCAAGACAAGGAATGGATCTGCATGGACACATGGCAGCTGATAGAGGAGGTAGAGGAAGATGATGATGGTGAAGAAGAAGACGAACCAGTCCAATACAGTACAGTGCAGTGCAGGAATGAACAACAAAAAGAGGAGCTGACTGGGACACATAAAACACTACACTAAACGAAGAAGTGAATAAGAGTGCACGCAAACACAAAAGACACTTCTACGATACACTGGCAAGTGAAGCAGAACAGGCTGCAGGCTACAGGTAGGAGAGGGAGACCTGACCTCACTACATCAAATAACCAGGTTACTTTCTGGAGGAGAAGAGATAAACGCAGATGAAACCAATGAAAGATAGTGAAGGAAACGTAGTTACCAAAGAGGAGGAACAAAGGGGACGATGGGATGATGACTTCAAAAAGCTGTTGAATCGACAAACACCACCACCACCTGCAACTCATCCAGAAATATCACCAGCAGCCCAGCCACAGAATTACTAGTGAACACAACCCCACATAAATAAGCAGAAGTCATGGATGTCATAAGGTTGTTGAGACTCGGGAAGGCAGTAGGATTAGGTGTAATTTCTAGAGAAGCAGTAAAAACAGACACAGATACAACGGCGGATACTCTCACACCACCATTGCAGAAGGTTTGAAAGGGTTGAAGGAAAGGTATCTGCCCATTGATTAGAAGAAGGGCTACCTTGTCAAAGTTCCAAAGAAGGGAGACCCAAGTGTTTGCAAGAACAATAACCGGCGTGGAATCATGCTCCTGTTACTGTCCACCCTGAGCAAAATAGTAAGCTGCATCATCCTGAAGAGACCAAAAAATGCCCCGAATTCAAAATGACGACCGAGACAGGCTAGCTGTCTGGCTGGCTGACTGGCTTCAGGACGAACAAATAATGTGCGGATCAAATTGTGATGACACGCTACGCCATGCATCATCATAGAACACAGTATAGAATGGCAGTCAACTCTCTACCTCAACTTTATCGACTTTGAAAAGGCATCCGACAGAGTCAACCAAGAAGTAATTTGGCAGCTGCTTCAACACTATGATTTTAGTGCCACAAACCTTTATCAACCTCATTCAAGAGCTATATGATACATGATGCTACATGTCAGGTGATTCACAGTGGAAATCTCAGTGACTCCTTTGAAGTGGAAGTGAAGACAGGAGTAAGACAAGGCTGCCTACCACCACCGATCATCTTCCTGATTGTGGTCGACTGGACTCAACTGGACCATGCAACAAACTGTGAAAGGCGAGATGATGGATATACGCTGTTTGGCAGATGTGAATACCCTAGAAAATTTGAATTTCGGTGACGATGATGATTTATGTCTAATGTCGTAAAACTAGATGTACGGGCAAAAGCTAACAAGTTGACAGAGGAGGCAGCGAAGACGGAACTTCAAGTGAATGTAGAGAAGACGGAGATGATGAAGATACCCAACCAACAACAGCAACAACAACAACAGCAGCATCAACAGCAAGCACCAATCACCATTAACGGGAGAAACCTAAAAGGAAGTTGTCTCTTTCACCTACCTAGCCTATGCAGCAACGGTTCAACTACAGGTGGCACAGGCACACATAACGACGTCAAAGCCAGGATCGGAAAGACAGCAAGACAAGCTTTCCTGCTTTGATCTGAAATCAGTGTGGAGATCTACTGCACTGCAATCAGCCTAATGCGTTAACAAGATCCGGATTTTCAACACCGAGTCAAGTCAGTGCTTCTATGTGATGGTTCAGAAACTTGTCGCGCTACTAAAAACATTTCCAAGAAACCACAGACATTCATGAACATCTACCTACGCTCACTCAATACTGAAGATCAGCTGGCCAGAATACTAAGAATAAGTTGCAAGACATTCGCTGTGATCTGCCAACAAACCAACCAAGAAGCCTTCGCCCAACAAATATACAGAAGAAAGTGGTGACTGATTGTGGACATCAAGCGCCAGGCCAGACAGTTGAGTGGAATCCAATGGAGAAACAACGAATTGGGCGTCCAAGGATGACATGAGGGAGATCATCTGAGGACAAAATGAAAGCTTTTGGGCCATCGTGGAGCCAAGTTGAAAAGACTGCAGTGAACAGAGTGCAATGACGACGTGCTCCTGAAGCCCTGCGTTTCACTAGAAACCCAAGGGACAATAATAAATAATTGCGTTTTGCAGAAGCAGTTGCAATATAACGCTTTCAACCTGACCTTTGCATACAGAAGGGGAGTATGGTTAGTTTTTTATTCTTCTGGTGAATTTGAATTGATCCTTTCTCTTTTTCATTTTAATTACATAACTCTATGTCTATTTATTTTTCCTTTCTTGCCTCTTTACAATCAATTTTCTTGCATGTTATATGGATTATGAATGATTTTGTTATACAATTTAAATTATTGATCTTATGCCCGAATAACCATTGCACTTTTAGCTTGTATGCACCTGGAGAGTATTCGTGCAATACGATAATATCATTTTATTCTACGAATTTCTTCCTTCTTGCTTTTAGTCACTGGTGTTGCCACTGAATACATTCGATAATCTGAATCTCATTACAATGCAACCCCTTTTTCAATAACCCATTCAAATGTTTAATCCAGTCTGAAAGTTGTAGATTTGGAACAAACACCTCCCAATTCATTAATTATAGGTATATGATCTAATTGACTTACTGATATAATCAAGATAGAACCTTCCGCACAGGTGCATCGGCCCAAGTTGCCACACTTAACAGTAGTACACAAACGACATGTAGATAGGAAAAGAGTAACTCAATGTACATAAAGTAGTCTGTAAGAATTAACAAGATTAATGCGAGTGCGAATATTCAAACTTTTGAAGATGTCAAGGAATGAACACATCTGCCTCATTATGACTGATTTTCAGCCAGCTGATTCCTTCCATCTTGAGGATCCCAACCAGGTAGTCTACATTTTCCCCACACGGCTCATACCAACAATTAGAGACTTCATCGACTGATGTCACGTCTTGGTCTGGCCACCTTGAACCCTCTTCAGGCCTAATCCAACTTCCTCTGTAATGGCATGTCGAGGCAGGCAGTGGCTCGCCGTGCGCGGTACATGTCCAAACCATCTCAGTTGACTAACGTTCATAACCTTATCAATCGATCCGAGTGTCTTTCTTAGTACCCAGCATTGCTGACACGGTGATTCTACCAAAAGCGACCAATGCTAAGTAGACACCTATGATCAAAACCCTGTAATCACTTTATGTCTTCTGCTGTTAACGGCTATGTCTCACAGATGTATAACAGGACAGAATGGACTACATTGTAGTCTACTCAACCTTGATAGATAGTCTGATATCTCGCCAGTTAGTGCCAAAGATGACGTAATATGATAAGTGCCAAACCGGCCTTCCGCATTTGAGCGGAGATTTCATTAGCAATCGGCCCGTTCAGGTTGATGCTACTCCCCAAGTAAGTGAAGTGGTTGATACATTCCACCATTTCACTCCTTATCGCTAAACTGGGAGTACTTGCAGCAGTACTTACAGTCATCATCAGTCAGCATCATCTTACATTTGACAGGTGCCAGTGAAACTCATGCCAAACATACACAGATTTCTCCTCAGCGCATAATGTCTTACAGGTGGCATACCATCCTACTGGGAAGTGCTAAGAAGACAAAACGTAATTGGATGTTTGACCCCCTGTTGCTTTTCGTTGATATTCCAACTTGATTCACCGCAGCATCTAGTCACTTCGATCAGCTGCTGCACTATATAGTCACCTCAGCAGATTTCAGATAGCTTAGAGCTACATGAAACCATTCAGCGGCGGATTTGTGCACTTCTGAAACAGTAAGACTGAACGTTTATCCGTCGAGATGCTTTCATTTCTTATTCAAACAATCATTGCATAGTTTCAAACAGTTTAAGTTTTTGTGCACATGATTTTCCCTATTTATGATTGGTTAATTAACTATGAACTTTACTCTTAAAATTCGATCTTCAACAGAATCTCACACAAGCCAAACCATCGGATGAAGTTTCAATGGAGAACGATGATAGATTTCTACAATCTGATCAATTATTATTACCAGAAGAGAGTCGAGATACAAATGAACTCATGGAATTTATTAAAACTATCCCATCTAATCCAGATTCATGGAAATCCAAGGCATGTTCAATTGTATACATTACTTTGTGCCAACTTTTGGATGACTTGTCTACTTGTTGGAATGAAATTTGATTCAGAAATGTAAATTGACACTTATGTTAAATGGAATCTTGTTCCACCACTACTACTTATAAGTAGTATTTCATGTTTTTGAAATATTTTTTCACGCGTATATTCACTGAATGAGTTAGCATTTTGTGAAGGTCTGTCATTTTTAATATAGTTTACTTGAATAAATTAACTGTTGGGATACTTGTGTATTTTTGATACTTTTTCCCGTTTTTTACCGTACTCTGCTGCTCTTCTTATATGCTGCTAGTTCCAGTTTGATTATGCTCTATCAGTGCCAGTGTTGTATCCTTAAATTAATGAGAAGTCATAAGCGATGTGGCAAACCAAGTCAGGTCTGAGGACAGTTACTCAGCGACAACATTAGATGAGGGTTGCGCTTTATCGCCAAATGACGAAAGTAGGAAAATGTGGACCATATGACTCCAACCCAATGAGTCAGCAGCAACTTCCTGGCCGCGAAATCTGGATATCCTGGGTCCGACCCCTGGAGGAGCCCTATACTAGGACGAAATAGCTGTCCAGTGCTCCAAGGTTTTCAGTGGTTCTTCAGCTGATATCAGTCTTTGGTGAATAGTCACTTGAAATCAATAAAGTTCTTACAAACGGCCATATTGAATTGCCCCTAAATTAATGCTGTACACAACGAAAGTAAGCCATGAGTTCAGTTACTTATGGTTTTGATAAACAGTGTTCGGAGTCCTCCCATCACTTGGTCCCAAATAACCTGCACAAAGTAGCATGCATAGCTAAGTCACTTCACTGATGTACAAAAGACTGACTTCAGTAAATACATTTGCTTTTCATTAGTGTCATCCTAGGAGCTACACAATCGCATTTAAAAATAATTATTGTCTATATTCAATGGCAGAATACGTCAGTATATAGTTCGTATACGGTTATTTTTAGGGAAGGATAAAGGTAGCGAAAACTGTAAATACAGTATTAGTATAACGGATAGTGTAAATGAATGTAGTGGAAACAAGAGTGCATTGCCATAAAGAAATCAAAATGAATAAAAGAGGAAAGGAACAAGAATTTGATAAGTGATTTTAGTCGTATTCCAACCAATCTTAGTCTTGGTATTCATCATAGTCTGACATCAGTTTGAGGAACACTGGAAGCCTGGGAGCATCGAACAGCCGTTTCTTCCCCGTATGGGACTCATCAGCAGTCCGCACCTTATGGCCCCACCAGGGCTCGAACCCAGGGCCCTCGGATTCCGCGGCCAGCACTTCACCGTTGAGACACAGGGGCGTAAACTAGCGATCCATATTTCCTACTCTAGTCATTTCATGATATAGCGAGATTATCACCCAATGTCGTCGTTGAGTATTTGTCGTCACGTTCTCTCTGTTTGCTCCACAGATTTCGGTCCCTGGAGGGGCACCGTCATGGGTTCACACTGCTGAAGAGTTCTGTATTGGGACGAAACAGCTATCCAGTGCTCCCAGTCCCCCTGTGTTCCTTAACTGATGTCACTCCATGAATAATACAAACTTGGAATCAATAAATCGCCATAAAATCCCCAAATGACATATATAATCGGGTACTTCATCTCCTTGTTAAGTCTTGTTTGAATAATGATTGTTTTTAAGCACGAACGTTAGTGATTTTATTTTGATTCGACATTTACGATATACAAAAGTAAGCCAGTATATGTGTGTGCTGCATTATAAACATTAGATTTAATAACGTTTACAGAAACCATCCAAAAGAGCTGCAAAAATGACGAATCATGTTTTAACTGATGGAAAAACGTGTAGCTTATGCCGAAAACTATAGTAGTTTAGTGTTCTACAAGCTTCGATGTTTATCATAAACGTTTCATTTCCGGGCTTAGTGAAATCCCCAGCCCTTACTTCATGAAGAAGTGAAGCATGTTCAAATGTCACATAAATGTTTAGACAGAGTTCTTCCTAACCTTCAGTGTTGTCCAACTATAAGTTGGGTAGAGATTTTTATTACACTTTGACCTCATTGACCTTAATGTTTATTCGGTCATGCTGGTGGAAAATCTTCGTTAGAGTGAGATTTTGCTGTATCTTGCTTAGCCTCACCATTGATTTCTTCAGTCAACTTGCACTTTATTTGCTGTTTCCAAGTCCGTAAGTTCATTTATGGCCTTTAACAAACTCAAGTGTACAGGACAACTAACACGTACACCGATCAAATTTTGAATTACGATAGAAGTCATCCCACAGTCCATAAGAAATGTTGTGTACAAACATTATTATGAATAGCTAAGTTGTATTTCAGTTTTGAGGCACCACAGAAAGTGGGAGAAAAATACTTCTACGTGTTCAAAATCAGTGATTATCCACTCAGCATTATTAGCAGGAAATGGGGCAGTGTGATCGTCTCAAATCAATAAGCGGGTAACTCGCCCCTACATCTATCTCAGAAACTGTTATTTGACTGCTTCATCCACTTGTGACTGAAGTTGCACAATACCATTTTACCTAAAGTGTCGTGAGAGACTTATACCCGAGTCACAATGCTGCAGCTGAAGTTACCATTAAGCTACTTGTAAGAAATCAGTTTTCTTCAAGATCGCAGCTGTGCCTTACTGACAAGTGCTAACAAGCATGAAATCTAGATCCAGGGCTTTCTTCCGGTTGTCTCCAACAGTTATAATATATTCAAGGTTTAGAACATGCGAATGCCACTACATAACTCTGTTCGACAGTCAAAATAGTATTAAATGCATTTTCACAATCAAAAAGTAAAAACGATTGGTCTGCATTGATACTTCATCTGATAACAATAGGTGAAGTGTTTGAGCGCGTTGACTTCTTCAATCCTGGTCAATCAATGACCGACGAAATCTTTGCTTGGTTTAATTTTGCTAGTATACCCCATCTGCAGTGCCTGAAAGATATCCGGTTGATGACCGAGGGCAGAGTGTACTGCGCAGTATTTCGCCCCGGTTTACCATTTTATTATTATTTATTATTATTATTATTAGTCCCTTGGGTTCCTAGTGGAACATAGGGCTTCAGTAGCACGCCTCCAGTGACCTCTGTTCTCTGAGATCTTTTGAACCTGGCTCCACGACAGCCCAGAAGCTCTCATTTCCTCCTCGCACGACCTCCTCCATGTCACCCTCCTCGGACGTCCAACTCGTCGCTTCCCATGGGGATTCCACTCGAGGGCCTGACGCGTGATGTCCTCCGTCGGCCTTCTCAGTGCATGGCCAATCCATCTCCACTTCTTCCTGCATATTTGTTGCGTGATAGGTTCTTGGTTGGTTCGTTCCCAGAGTTCCTTGTTGCTTATTTTTTCTGGCCATCTGATCTTCAGCAGCGAGCGTAAGCAGTTGTTGATGAATGTCTGTAGTTTATTGGAAATACCTTTCGTGACGCGCCAAGTCTCTGAGCCATACAAGAGCACTGACTTGACGTTGGTGTTGAAAATCCGTATCTTGTTCCGCATGCTGAGTGCAGAAGATCTCCACACTGGTTTCAGGCTAATGAATGCCTGTCTTGCTTTTCCGATTCTGACTTTGACGTCCTCGTCCGTCCCGCCTGTAGTTGAAACAGTGCTTCCTAGATAAGTGAAGGAGGTTACTTCCTTTAAGTTTCTCCCGTTGACAGTGATTGGAGTTTGTTGTTGTTGTTGTTGATGGTGGTGGTGCGGTATCTTCATCACTTCTGTCTTCTCTATATTCACCTGAAGTCCCGTCTTAGCTGCCTCTTCTATCAACTTGTTAGTTTTTGCCTGCAGATCTTCAAGTTTATGTGACATTAGGCATAAGTCATCGGCGAAATCCAAGTCTTCTAGGTTCTTTTCCGTCGTCCAGTGTATCCCCCTCTTCTCGCTGCCTACTGTTTGCTGCATGATCCAGTCCACCACAATCAAGAATATCATGGGGGATAGTAGGCAACCTTGTTTCACTCCTGTCTTCACTTCAAAGGCATCACTGAGCTTCCCATTGTGGATTACTTGGCATGTGGCATCTTCATATAGTTGTTGAATGAGGCGGATAAAGGTTTGCGGTACTCCGTAGTATTGAAGCAGTTTCCAAATTACTTCTCGGTCGACGCTGTCAAAGGCCTTCTCAAAGTCGATGAAGTTGAGGTGGAGAGGTGATTGCCATTCTATGCTCTGTTCTATGATGATACGAAGCGTTGCAATTTGGTCTGCACATGATTTGTACTTCCTGAAGCCTGCCTGTTCCGGTCGTAGTTTTGAATCCAGTGCATCCCTTAGCCTCTCCAGGATGATGCGGCTTAATATTTTACTTGGGGTGGACAGGAGAGTGATTCCGCGCCAGTTCTTGCAAGCACTGAGGTCTCCCTTCTTCGGCAGTTTGACAAGGTAACCCTTCTTCCAATCGTCAGGTACCTTCTCTTCCTTCCACACCTTCTGCAATAGTGGTGTGAGCATGGCCGCTGTTGTCTCTGCATCTGTTTTCAGTGCTTCTGGCGGTATTCCATCTGGTCCTGCTGCTTTCCCACATTTCAGTAGCTTTATGGCGTTCAGGACTTCCATTTTCGTTGGGGGATTAATGTTCACTTGTAATTCAGCGGCTGCAGGTGGTATTTCTGGACGAAGTGCAGGTGGTGGTCGATTCAAGAGCTTCTTGAAGTGGTCGGCCCATCGTTTCCTCTGTTTCTCTTCTTTTGTAATTAAATTTCCTTCTTCATCTTTTATTGGTTTCATCTGTGTTGGTCTCTTCCCTGATAGCAACCTGGTTATTTGATACAATGTCGTCAGGTCTCTCTTACCTGCAGCCTGTTCTGCTTCACTTGCCAGTGTTTCGTAGAAGTGTCTTTTGTCTTTGCGTGCACTCTTCTTCACTTCTTTGTCCAGTGTTTTATACATTGTGCTCAGTTCCTCTTGTCGTTGAGCATCCTTGCACTGGTTTATCTTCTGCTTCACCATCCTCCTCTCCTCTATCAGCTTCCAGGTATCCGTCGAGATCCATTCCTTGTCTTCTTTCTTCTTCCTTCCTAATACTGTTGTGCAGGTTTCTTTCCACATAGCTTTCAAAGACTTCC